GTCAACATTCCTGTCAACGTTTATATGTACAATTATTTGTGTAAAACTAACAGTGAAATATGACTCAGACTCATCCTGTGGCTTAAAAACAGAAGTCCAAACTCTCACGGTACGGTAGCTGCTCGTACGGTAGTTCCATGGTAAGAAGGAGAAAAAACAGCTCAATCAAAACCGTCTAACCTATAGCGGAGCTCTTTCGACACGCCCACTCCTTTCCTCACGCCCACTACTTTCCTTTCGACACACCCACTCCTTTCCTCACGCCCACTACTTTCCTTTCGACACACCCACTCCTTTCCTCACGCCCACTACTTTCCTTTCGACACGCCCACTCCTTTCCTCACGCCCACTACTTTCCTTTCGACACACCCACTCCTTTCCTCACGCCCACTCCTTTCCTCACGCCCACTACTTTCCTTTCGACACACCCACTCCTTTGCTCACGCCCACTACTTTCCTTTCGACACGCCCACTCCTTTCCTCACGCCCACTACTTTCCTTTCGACACACCCACTCCTTTGCTCACGCCCACTACTTTCCTTTCGACACACCCACTCCTTTCCACACGCCCACTACTTTCCTTTCGACACACCCACTCCTTTCTTCACGCCCACTACTTTCCTTTCGACACACCCACTCCTTTCCACACGCCCACTACTTTCCTTTCGACACACCCACTCCTTTCTTCACGCCCACTACTTTCCTTTCGACACACCCACTCCTTTCCTCACGCCCACAACTTTCCTTTCGACACACCCACTCCTTTCTTCACGCCCACTACTTTCCTCTCGACTATCCCACTCGCCCATACTCCGGTCTCCAAGTTGGGATGCAGCTACCCCCTTCTCACCTTCGGCGCCAGTGCTGCCTTACAGGCACTATTCACGGCAAAAAAAAAAGTTACACGTGCGAACACGAAGTTCTTGCTAGCAAATTAGCAGTTGTCAACTGTGAAGAACGGACTGCCATCATTTTTCGAGTTTCCTTCATTACATTTATATTACATTTAACAAACCAAGCATTGAAATACTGTTATGTGAGGTAAGAACATGAGGGGTAAACTGTTTATAGTATTTTAATGTTGTGGAGTTAAGGCACAAGGCCTAGAAATCTGCTATTTCTTACTGGCTAAATAGCTAAATGTGCTATAATGTTGGTTCAACAGATGGGGCTTTTTAAGTTACTTTTGGGATTTATTTTGTCTTTGGCACTCCAGTCCAGTGAAAACAAGAGAACATCTTCCCACTATTTCCAATAGTATATTTTTGGGATGTTTGTATAATTGGGATGTTTACAGCGAACAAGTAGTCCTTAAGTCTTGAGAGAAACAGATCAGCGAGTAATTTGATCTTGGACTCTTGGACTTTTACAAGGAAGGTTAATTGTTACTGACCTACAGCTGGTTTTAACAGAGAGTCACAGTGTTGAGTCTATAACCTCCCGAGTGGCGCAGTGGTCTAAGGCACTGCATCGCAGTGCTAGCTGTGCCACTAGAGATCCGTAGCCGGCCGCGACCGGGAGACCCATGGGGCGGGGCACAATTGGCCCAGCGTTGACCAGGGTAGGGTTGTGGGTTCGATTCCCACGGGGGGCCAGTATGAAAAAATTTATGCATTCACTAACTGTAGGTCGCTCTGGATAAGAGTGTCTGCTAAATGACTAAAATGTCAAATGTATATGCAGGGCTAAATTAGAGCCATTCAGAGCCAGCTAAACATCCTGTTACTGACCTACAGCTGGTTTTAACAGAGAGTCACAGTGTTGAGTCCATATGCAGGGCTCAGTTAGAGCGATTCAGAGCCAGCTAAACATCCGGTGTTATTACTATGGGATGATTGAACTCCTTGACCAGAGGTGAGATTCAGAGGACCAGCCAGTTTGTGGTTCCTGATGTCCTGCATGGATGACCCCTTTCCCCACTCCACCCAGATTCACATCTCTACACCCCCGTCCTCAGTCACACAGACAGACAGACAGACACTATCACAACCCTAACCCTTAACCCCTGCTGTGTACACATCCTATTAATCTCCTCTGATCTCCCTATAAACATGGTGAACCATGAAACTGTGTGTGTGTGTGTGTCTGTGTGTGTGTGTGTGTGTGTGTGTGTGTGTGTGTGTGTGTGTGTGTGTGTGTGTGTGTGTGTGTGTGTGTGTGTGTGTGTGTGTGTGCGTGGTGCGTGCACACCGACTCTGAACCAATAGGAATGTTGACATAATTGATATGATTTGTTTTGAAGGTTCCTCCTGGAATCTCTGTTACAGTCCACACAGAGACCGAGAACTAGTCATATAGAATCATGAACTGCTTTGTTGCTAGTTCTGTTTTACAATGACTCATTGAAGACTCACTGTTATATTCATGATGTAATCTAGAAGGAATCTGTTCCTCTGCAGAACTGTACTAACCCTTATTGGGCAGCATATTGGTCTCTGTGGTGTGAGTGATCGTGAGTATGCTACATGATCTCTGGAAGATCCAAGTACTCATTTTATTTCTGCCCGTTTTCTCAGATGGCTGCCTACTTCGGCCATTCTGTGGCGGCGGCCGACATCAATAACGATGGGTAAGTAAGGATGGGTACACCGACTGCCTGCGTTCCCTAATGGCACCTAATCCCTTATGTGGTGCCCAATGGACCCTGGTCAAACGTAGTGCACTATACAGAGGGTAAGGTTGTAATCTGGGACACGGGCTCTATTTTAGTATGATCTTTTTACAGTTTATCCTGGGTCGTGTTCATTAGGGCAAAAGGTAAACAAGCATTTGTTATTGGACAAGTTCAGGTAGTGCCTCCCTGTTTGACTGTTTTCTTCTGTTTAGTCAACATGTCATTGCCACTGGAGGATGTTTGTTAAAGGTAAATAGAGGCCCTGACTTTTTACGAACTGTTGGGATCAGCTCAAGGCGATAGATTTTCTCATCCTGTAGCAGTGCTCGCTAATTAATCTCTAGATGAAGACACAGTCATGACCATAGACTGTTAACGATACAGCCTCCAGGCGTCAAGTCCTCTGCCCGAGTCCTGACTGCTTTCAGATGCAGCTGAATATCTTGGCTGATTTATGTAGGTTATTTCAGGAGTTCTCAAACTTTTTGTGGACGTGGACCCCTTTCGTGATAGCAAATTCATCAGGGACCCCCTTGTAATCAGAACACAACTTGAGTTGGGTACAAATTAGCATGCAAGCAGTTTTACTATGACTTCGGCCGGATGAACCAAGTCTCAGGCCCTGATAAGGGACATTTTAAAGACCTCTTGGCATCGGAGATAACATTTTGCAGTTTTCAAGCTAATTTCCTGCAATTTTACACATTTTGTCATGGGGCAGAGAGATTCTTTGTTGTTGTAGCTTTAAAGCTAATATCCTGCAATACTGCACATTTTGCCATGAGGCAGAGAGAAAAACGTTGCAATTAAATTACAGTGCATTTATGTAAAAATAAATAAAATAAAAACTTTGGGGGAATACAAGAAGCATTGAGTTGAAAAATGTATAATTGGTGGATACCAATATCCCTGTAAGCCTCCCAGGCCCAAGTTGCCCAGGGTTAAGAAATTGTAGATAAATAATATTGTATTGTATTTTACTACACCCTCTAAACATATTCCACGGACCCCTGGGCCAAAATATGTTTTTATCTGTTGTTGTTAGTCTGCGGACCCCACTATGAGAACCCCGGGGTTATATCATACCACCCATGTTATATCATACCACCCATGTTATATCATACCACCCATGTTATATCATACCACCCATGTTATATCATACCACCATGTATATCATACCACCCCATTGTTATTCATACCACCCATGTTATATCATACCACCCATGTTATATCATTACCACCAATGTTATATCATACCCACCCCATGTTATATCATACCACCAATGTTATATCATACCACCCCATGTTATATCATACCACCCATGTTCTATATAACCCATTTATCATCCCACCCCATGTTTATATCATACCAACAATGTTATTCATACCACCCATGTTAATATCATACCACCCATGTTATATCATACCACCCATGTTATATCATACCACCCATGTTATATCATACCACCCATGTTATATCATACCACCCATGTTATATCATACCACCCCATGTTATATCATACCACCCCATGTTATATCATACCACCCATGTTATATCATACCACCCATGTTATATCATACCACCCATGTTATAGCATACCACCCATGTTATATCATACCACCCATGTTATATCATACCACCCCATGTTATATCATACCACCCCATGTTATATCATACCACCCATGTTATATCATACCACCCATGTTATATCATACCACCCATGTTATATCATACCACCCATGTTATATCATACCACCCATGTTATATCATACCACCCATGTTATATCAGTACCACCCATGTTATACATACCACCCATGTTATATCATACCACCCATGTTATATCATACCACCCATGTTATAGCATACACCTTAACCATGTTATATCATCACCCATGTTATATCATACCACCCCATGTTATATCACACCACCCCATGTTATATCATACCACCCCATGTTATATCATACCACCCATGCTTCATTACAGTGCATAATACATCACTTTAACATTATGGAATATTCTGTGTAGGTCAGGGCCATAAAACCCTAAATAAATTGTAAATTGTAACACAACAAAGGGTTGGTTTTCCCAATCATAGACTATAACCCTATTCCTGGACTAAAATGCAGTTCTAATGGAGAATCTCCATTGAACATGATTCTTAGTCCAGTGCTAGGCTTAATCTACAGTATGTCTGAGAAATTAAAACATCCAAGGGGGTTACTGGATATCACATAGAAGTTTCCCTCTCTGAGGAAGACATCACGTCGAAACGTCAGTCCACCTACTAGAAAAGAAAGTCTGAGCGTTCCAATGGATTAGTTCACTATCTGACGTTTTTTTCCTCTGTAAACCCTACTTATGTGTCCCTCTGTCTCTCCTCAGGCTAGTGGATCTGTTTGTAGGGGCCCCTCTGTTCATGGAGCGTGGCAGTGATGGGAAGCTGCGGGAGGTGGGCCAGGTGTCTGTGTTCCTGGGGAAGGGAGGGTTCTCCTTCCACTCCCCCGTCACACTGAGCGGGACGGAGATCTACTCACGCTTCGGCAGTTCTATAGCCACACTGGGAGACCTGGATATGGACGGCTTCAACGGTACGTATGAGGTGTTAATATTTTAGTCATTTTAGCAGACGCTCTTATCCAGAGCGACTTACAGGAGCAATTAGGGTTAAGTGCCTTGCTTAAGGGCACATCGGCAGATTTTTCACCTAGTCGGCTCGGGGATTAGAACCAGCGACCTTTCGGTTACTGGCACAATGCTCTTACCCACTAAGCTACCTGCCGCCGGTATGAGGCCTTAACAGTATGTATGAGGCCTTAACAGTATGATGCCTTAACAGTATGAGGCCTTAACAGTATGAGGCCTTAACAGTATGAGGCCTTAACAGTATGAGGCCTTAACAGTATGAGGCCTTAACAGTATGAGGCCTTCACCGTATATATGAGGCCTTAACGATATGTATGAGGCTTTAACAGTATGAGGCCTTAACGGTACGTATCAAATCAATGCAAATAGTCCGGGTAGCCATGATTAGCTGTTCTGGAGTCTTATGGCTTGGGGGTAGAAGCTGTTTAGAAGCCTTTTGGACCTAGACTTGGCGCTCCGGTACCGCTTGCCGTGCGATAGCAGAGAGAACAGTCTATGACTAGGGTGGCTGGAGTCTTTGACCATTTTTAGGGCCTTTCTCTGACACTGCCTGGTATAGAGGTCCTGGATGGCAGGGAGCTCGGCCCCAGTGAAATACTGGGCCGTACGCACTACCCTCTGTAGTGCCTTGCTGTAGTGCCTATGAGGCCTTAACTGTATGAGCCCTTGGAGACAACTACAGGTTGCCTGGTTGTTCTGCAAAATAACATAAACTTTCCGAAAGTTCCCAGGTTTTTTATAGAAATCTCGGTTGGACAACTCCCGGATTCAGGAGGAAAGAAGCGTGTCCTCCAACTGGGAATGCTCAAACCAGGATTTCTGGCCCCTTTAAGATTGCTTTGGGCCTTTTGGGGTGAAAGTTACCACACACTAGTCAGGGAGATCCTCTGGTTTGAAGACAATGACCATACCATCATTAAGGGTTGTTGATGATCTCCCTCTTCCTGTAATGTTTCTCTGTTCCAGACATTGCCATAGCTGCACCCTACGGCGGGCCGAAGCACCAAGGCCTAGTGTACATCCACAATGGGAGGGCGGCAGGGCCTGACCCAGTTCCTTCCCAGGTCCTAGAGGGGAGGTGGGCCTCCTCTTACATGCCCCCCAGCTTTGGATACTCCCTACACGGAGCCACCGATATTGACCAGAATGGATACCCAGGTAGTTTCATACTAGAATGGATACCTAGTTACTTTCATACTAGATCATATACCCAGGTATTTTCATACTAGAATGGATACCTAGTTACTTTCATACTAGATCATATACCCAGGTATTTTCATACTTGAATGGATACCCAGGTAGTTTCATACTAGAATGGATACCTAGTTACTTTCATACTAGATCATATACTCAGGTATTTTCATACTAGAATGGATACCCAGGTAGTTTGATACTAGAATGGATACCTAGTTACTTTCATACTAGATCATATACTCAGGTATTTTCATACTAGAATGGATACCCAGGTAGTTTGATACTAGAATGGATACCTAGTTACTTTCATAATAGATCATATACTCAGGTATTTTCATACTAGAATGGATACCCAGGTAGTTTGATACTAGATGGATACCCAGACTTAGTTACGGGAGGTTGGAGTGTTGTTGAAAAACGTGAGTTCTGTTCTGCTAGTATTTTCCTGGGTTTGTGGTTACTGAATGCTTACAGATTGGCCCTTACTTAGCTTGACTGTGGCTATTACAGAGCTTGTTGCTTGGTAACCCTGCTGCCATTGTACTGATGTTTTTCTCTCCCCTCTCCCCCTTCTTTGCCCTCTCTCTCTCTTCTCTACCTCTCTCTCTCTCCCCTTCTCTACCTCTCTCTCCTCTCCCCCTTCTCTACCCTCTCTCTCTCTCTCTCTCTCTCCTCTCTCTCTCGCCTTCTCTCTCTCGTCTCTCTCCCTTCGCTCTCTCTTCTCTCATCCCCTTCTCTCTCCTCCTCCTTCTCGTCTCTCCATCTCCTCCTCGCGTCTCTCGTCTCTCTCGTCCTCCTCTACCTCCTCTCTCACCCTTCGCCCACCTCTCTCATCTCTTCTCTCTCTCTCTCTCCCTTCTCTACCTCCTATTCTCTCTCTCTGTTTTTCGCTGTCTCTCCACCACCGACGTAATAGTCGGGGGTGTATTGGGTGGCAGACAAAGGCCGTTCTTATAACAGGTACAGTAGTGGTGCAGACCAAGCCTTCTATACAGTTACAGTAGTGGTGCATGACAAAGCCGGTTCTATACAGTGACAGTAGTGGTGCAGACAACGCCGTGCTATACAGGTGCAGTAAGTGTGGTTGCAGACAAAGCCGTTCTATAGTGGTGCAGATAAAGCCGTTCTATACAGGTACAGTAGTGGTGCAGACAAAGCCGTTCTATACAGGTGCAGTAGTGGTGCAGACAAAGCCGTTCTATAGTGGTGCAGACAAAGCCGCTCTATACAGGTACAGTAGTGGTGCAGACAAAGCCGTTCTATAGTGGTGCAGACAAAGCCGTTCTATACAGGTACAGTAGTGGTGCAGACAAAGCCGTTCTATACAGGTGCAGTAGTGGTGCAGACAAAGCCGTTCTATACAGGTACAGTAGTGGTGCAGACAAAGCCGTTCTATACAGGTGCAGTAGTGGTGCAGACAAAGCCGTTCTATACAGGTACAGTAGTGGTGCAGACAAAGCCGTTCTATACAGGTACAGTAGTGGTGCAGACAAAGCCGTTCTATACAGGTACAGTAGTGGTGCAGACAAAGCCGTTCTATACAGGTACAGTAGTGGTGCAGACAAAGCCGTTCTATACAGGTGCAGTAGTGGTGCAGACAAAGCCGTTCTATACAGGTACAGTAGTGGTGCAGACAAAGCCATTCTATACAGGTGCAGACAAAGCCGTTCTATACAGGTACAGTAGTGGTGCAGACAAAGCCGTTCTATACAGGTGCAGACAAAGCCGTTCTATACAGGTGCAGTAGTGGTGCAGACAAAGCCGTTCTATACAGGTACAGTAGTGGTGCAGACAAAGCCGTTCTATACAGGTGCAGTAGTGGTGCAGACAAAGCCGTTCTATACAGGTGCAGTAGTGGTGCAGACAAAGCCATTCTATACAGGTGCAGACAAAGCCGTTCTATACAGGTACAGTAGTGGTGCAGACAAAGCCGTTCTATACAGGTGCAGACAAAGCCGTTCTATACAGGTGCAGTAGTGGTGCAGACAAAGCCGTTCTATACAGGTACAGTAGTGGTGCAGACAAAGCCGTTCTATACAGGTACAGTAGTGGTGCAGACAAAGCCGTTCTATACAGGTACAGTAGTGGTGCAGACAAAGCCGTTCTGTACAGGTACAGTAGTGGTGCAGACAAAGCCGTTCTATACAGGTACAGTAGTGGTGCAGACAAAGCCGTTCTATACAGGTACAGTAGTGGTGCAGACAAAGCCGTTCTATACAGGTACAGTAGTGGTGCAGACAAAGCCGTTCTATACAGGTACAGTAGTGGTGCAGACAAAGCCGTTCTATACAGGTACAGTAGTGGTGCAGACAAAGCCGTTCTATACAGGTGCAGTAGTGGTGCAGACAAAGCCGTTCTATACAGGTACAGTAGTGGTGCAGACAAAGCCGTTCTATACAGGTACAGTAGTGGTGCAGACAAAGCCGTTCTATACAGGTACAGTAGTGGTGCAGACAAAGCCGTTCTATACAGGTACAGTAGTGGTGCAGACAAAGCCGTTCTATACAGGTACAGTAGTGGTGCAGACAAAGCCGTTCTATACAGGTACAGTAGTGGTGCAGACAAAGCCGTTCTATAGTGGTGCAGTAGTGGTGCAGACAAAGCCGTTCTATACAGGTGCAGACAAAGCCGTTCTACACAGGTACAGTAGTGGTGTGGTTTCCTTTCTTTGATGTTCCACATGCCTTCGATGTAACGTACTTTATGATCCAGCCCACCTAAACCATCCAAGGTGTTTTTGATTAATCTAAAGTATCCCACATGGTTTATATGCAATTAGTGGCACATTAAGCCTTAATAATGGTTTCTCATTTAAACGTGAATGCGTTTGGTGTACAAACTCTCATATTATACAGGCGGTCCCCACAACACAGACATATACAGTATAGATTTGACATGCCTACTGGACAACTCTATGGTGTCAACTGGTAAATTGATCCGATAGCTAAGCTCTATTGTTGTGGTCGTGACCGATGGGCCTTGGATATCAACGCTAACCCACAGATAGATCAGTGAGTTTAGTTCATACTGGCTGACTGGCTGTGAGAGCAGAGCTGCGCTGCTAGAAGTCTTTCAACAATAAGGTATTAAGACAGCAACGCCACACGTCTGATATTTTCCAGTTTAGGTTGCTCTTTTATTGAAAAAGCTTTATCAGAGCTCCTCCCTGTGTGGTGTCAGATGTTGACCTGTCACTGGTGAGGTCTGACCTCAACACAGTGAGACCTTAGTCTTTATTGAAGCTCTCTGATGTTGACTTGAGGTCCCCCTGTGCTCACTGTTCTGGTCTGACCTCTGACCCCCAGGGCCCGGCCGGTCATCAGCGTTAACGCCACCCTGGACATCAGCCCTCAGATCCTCAACCCAGAGGAAAGGACCTGCAAACTGCCTGACGCTGACACTCAAGTGTCCTGGTGAGTAATCTAATTAGGTTTTCACTAGTTAAATAGAGAAGATATGGATGTCTGTGTGCGATGCATGGTCCATATCAGGGACTGCATTGATGGGGGGGGGGGTGGTTTCTTCATTGAATACAGTCATGTTTAACTGTCAGACAGACTTCCTCTCTAGGGTCTGGTAACGTCATGTTAAACTGTCAGAAAGACTTCCTCTCTGGGAACGTCATGTTTAACTGTCAGACAGACTTCCTCTCTAGGGTCTGGTCACGTCATGTTAAACTGTCAGAAAGACTTCCTCTCTGGGAACGTCATGTTTAACTGTCAGACAGAATTCCTCTCTAGGGTCTGGTAACGTCATGTTTAACTGTCAGACAGAATTCCTCTCTAGGGTCTGGTAACGTCATGTTTAACTGTCAGACAGACAGAGCTGATGTAAGAACATGCAACATGTTTATCTAGTTACCGTTTGGTGCTGTATGCTTGTTCTGAGAACTGTAGAGAACTCTATAGCCTGTGCTTTAGAGTTGAATCTGATTCGTTTTCAGTGTTTTGAGAACTGTAGAGAACTCTATAGCCTGTGCTTTAGAGTTGAATCTGATTCGTTTTCAGTGTTTTGAGAACTGTAGAGAACTCTATAGCCTGTGCTTTAGAGTTGAATCTGATTCGTTTTCAGTGTTTTGAGAACTGTAGAGAACACAATAGCCTGTGCTTTAGAGTTGAATCTGATTCGTTTTCAGTGTTTTTTGGTCACATTTTGTTTTGTCTCCCCTCAGTTTCAAAGTGAAGTACTGTCTTAAGGCGAGTGGGAGAGGCGCACCAGCCTCACTGAGTAAGTATCTGAAGGATATCTACTACCACCCTACACTACGTTGCATCCCTACGGGGCGTCGCTTCTCAACAAACACTACTCTGAGATGAAGTGTTACAGCGTTTGCCCCCTATCCTGTCGACAAGCTGTGCTCTCAGAGAACTCCTGTTAGATCAAAAAACACAGCTATCTGACTGGCCATCTACTTCTTATGTCCCAAACGGCACCCTATTCCCTACGTAGTGCACTACTTTTGACCAGAGCCCTATGAACCCTGGTCAAAAGTAGTGCACTATAAAGGGAATAGGGTGCCACGTAGGATGCATAAAGTAGCTACAGCACCACAGCTCACTTCTGAGTCTCTGTATAGACATCCTGTCTGGCTGTACCCAGCCTGTTACCCAGCCAGTTACCCAGCCTGTTACCCAGCCTGTTAGATTATAGCTTCAGGCTAGCAGAGCAGCCTGTTAGAGTATAGCTTCGGGCTAGCAGAGCAGCCTGTTAGAGTATAGCTTCAGGCTAGCAGTGCAGCCTGTTAGAGTATAGCTTCAGGCTAGCAGTGCAGCCTGTTAGAGTATAGCTTCAGGCTAGCAGAGCAGCCTGTTAGAGTATAGCTTCAGGCTAGCAGAGCAGCCTGTTAGAGTATAGCTTCAGGCTAGCAGAGCAGCCTGTTAGAGTATAGCTTCAGGCTAGCAGAGCAGCCTGTTAGAGTATGCTTCAGGCTAGCAGAGCAGCCTGTTAGAGTATAGCTTCAGCTAGCAGAGCAGCCTGTTAGAGTATAGCTTCAGGCTAGCAGAGCAGCCTGTTAGATTATAGCTTCAGGCTAGCAGAGCAGCCTGTTAGAGTATAGCTTCAGGCTAGCAGAGCAGCCTGTTAGAGTATAGCTTCAGGCTAGCAGAGCAGCCTGTTAGATTATAGCTTCAGGCTAGCGAGCAGCCTGTTAGAGTATAGCTTCAGGCTAGCAGAGCAGCCTGTTAGATTATAGCTTCAGGCTAGCAGAGCAGCCTGTTAGATTATAGCTTCAGGCTAGCAGAGCAGCCTGTTAGAGCAGTGGTCACCAAACTACGGCCCGCGGGCCGAATACGGCCCGTCAGCACATTTGGCCCGGCCCTCTGAACAATACCAGAGACGCTATCGGATTTTTTTCCTATTTGGCCTCCAGAAAAAAAATCCTAGGCCCGGCCCTGTCAAAGAGAGAACGGAATAATGGCGAAAAGGTTAGGTAAGAGAAAAATTGACAAGTACGATAGCTTGCAAGGCCAAATACGAGCAGACAAACTCTCAAAGCTAAAAAGTGGACTACTATCTCAGCAGAATACATTTGTACGCCAAGCTCAGCTGAACCAGGCATCCGTTCGGGCCAGCTTTCGGGTTGCTAAACTGATAGCAAGCAGCGGTAAGCCTTTCACTGACGGAGAGTTTGTTAAGAAATGTATGGATGCTGTCGCGGAGGAGGTGTGTCCCGAGAAGAAAGATGCATTTAATGCCGTAAGTCTGTCGGCGAGTACAATCACCAGACGCGTTGAAGAAATCGGGAGTAATGTATATGCCCAGCTGCAGCAGAAGACGAAAGAATTTGACCTTTTTTCATTAGCACTGGATGAGAGCACGGACGTGCAAGACACAGCGCAACTGCTCATTTTTATTCGTGGAGTTAGCGCAAACTTTGAGATATGCGAGGAGCTGGCAGCCCTCCAAAGTCTCAAAGGGACTACAACGGGAGAGGATATTTTTGACAAAGTGTGCCAAACCATGGAGAAGTTGGACCTGGACTGGTCAAAGCTAGCTAGCATCACGACTGACGGGGCTCCTAGCATGGTGGGCGAAACTCGCGGTCTAATAGGACGCATGAACCGGGAGTTGGAAAAAAGGGGTCTCACCGCCCCGCTACGAGTCCACTGCCTAATTCACCAGCAAGCACTGTGCTGCAAAGTGTTGACGTGGGATTCTGTAATGAAGGTTGTGGTGTCGTGCATAAACTTCATCAGAGCAAAGGGACTTAAACACAGGCAGTTCCAAGAATTCCTGTCTGAACTGGAGTCTACGCACGGAGATGTGCTGTACTACACAGAGGTCCGATGGCTGAGCCGGGGCAGAGTTTTTGAGGCGTTTTTACGAGCTGCTACCCGAAATTAACGCATTTCTTCATTTAAAAGACAAAACGGTCCCAGAGCTGATCGACCCAGAATGGAAATGGCACCTCGCATTTTTAACAGACGTGACAGAAATACTTAACAGCCTTAACTTGCAGCTACAAGGCGAGGGGAAACTCATTTGCGACATGTATTCACACATAAAAGCATTTGAGGTGAAATTAGCGCTGCTTTTGGAACAAGTGAAAAAGCGCAACTTCGTCCATCTTCCTGCTACCCAAAACCTGTCGACAGAGAACCCAGCGGTCCCGTTCCCAGCTGAAAAGTGCGTGGAAGCACTGGAAATGCTGAAGGCGGAGTTCGGTGTGCGATTCAGTGAACTACATGTTCATGCAAAAGAAATCCGTCTTTTTCAGAACCCCTTTGTTGCCGACATTGATGAAGCCCAGCCTTCATATCAGTTTGAGTTGGCTGAGTTACAGAACTGTGATGTTCTGAAAGACGCATTCAAGCCCAACAGTCTCATTGACTTCTATGCCGCCCTCCCAAACGACACATATCCAAACATCAAAAAACACGCAATGAAAATGTCCACAGTTTTTGGCAGCACGTATATCTGCGAGAAAACCTTTTCTCGCATGAAACTGCTGAAAACTCCGATGAGATCAAGATTGACAGATGAACATTTGCATCAGTGCTTGAGACTGGCTGTAACTAGAATGGAACCTGATATTCAACTTCTCACCAGCCAGATGCAGGCCCACAGTTCACACTGATGAACATACATAGGTAAGCTCACTTTTCTGACTTGAATGAGTCATTCTGAGCATAAACAAATATAATCATAATAAAATCTACTGGGATAAAATCCATCTTTACAACCATACTGGTAGTGAAATGTATTGTGCTGTGTAGGTGCTGTATCACTTAGTTCAGTTTCTCAACCTGCTTCCTTTGTGGTTTTCACAGGGAAGTTGATGAGAGAGAGCTGCAAACAGCGGTGTCTACAAGCCTACTGGAACCTACAAAAGGATTATAAGGAAGGAACACAAGAACTTTAAGAGACTGCTCATATGTGTCAGAGAGATTCTGCTCTGACAACTGAGCTGAACTTTTATCTGTTAAGATTGTGCATGGCACAACAGAAAGTTAATGTTCCATGGCTTTTTTTTCTATGAAGAACCCAGAGAGAGTTATTTAGTTATTATTTATTTCATAAATAGTGTTATTTATTTCCTGTTTTTTCTGTGAAGAACTCAGAGAGGGTTATTTAGTTATTATTTATTTCATTAATAGTGTTATTATTTGTTTCCTGACTTTTTTTCTGTAAAGAACCTGGAAAGGGTTATTTGGTTATGTGTGGCTTTCTGGAAAACAATAAATTTTTTAAGCTCCCCTACGATCGTCACACTTTTTCTGTTACAAACTGACACCGGCCCCCCATCAGAGAAGGGAAAAGTTATGTGGCCCTCACAGGAAAAAGTTTGGGGACCCCTGTGTTAGATTATAGCTTCAGGCTAGCAGAGCAGCCTGTTAGATTAGAGCTTCAGGCTAGCAGAGCAGCCTGTTAGATTATAGCTTCAGGCTAGCAGAGCAGCCTGTTAGAGTATAGCTTCAGGCTAGCAGAGCAGCCTGTTAGAGTATAGCTTCAGGCTAGCAGAGCAGCCTGTTAGATTATAGCTTCAGGCTAGCAGAGCAGCCTGTTAGATTATAGCTTCAGGCTAGCAGAGCAGCCTGTTAGAGCATAGCTTCAGGCTAGCAGTGCAGCCTGTTAGATTATAGCTTCAGGCTAGCAGAGCAGCCTGTTAGATTATAGCTTCAGGCTAGCGGTGCAGCCTGTTAGATTATAGCTTCAGGCTAGCAGAGCAGCCTGTTAGAGTAGAGCTTCAGGCTAGCAGAGCAGCCTGTTAGAGTATAGCTTCAGGCTAGCAGAGCAGCCTGTTAGAGTATAGCTTCGGGCTAGCAGAGCAGCCTGTTAAAGCATAGCTTCAGGCTAGCAGAGCAGCCTGTTAGATTATAGCTTCGGGCTAGCAGAGTGAGCTCAGCTCAGTTCCCATTAAGACAGCCTGCTGGTTTTGAATGGCCTCCATCCGGCCTTACATCAGTTACATGCCACCATGCTCTGCCAGCCTGTCTGTCTCTGTGTGTGTGTTATGGCTCCCAGACCTGGGTTTTGCAACGGAAATGAAAACAGGCATTTATTATTGAACAAGTTCAGGTTGTCCCTCCCTATTTCAGTCAGTTTTTGGTCCGTCTGGGGCCTAATTAATAGGACCCAGTGCTGCATGGGAGACCGCAGACGACGCCCCCAATTCATTATTTCTCTCTGGGCCTTTGAACTTCTCCGCTCATGTCCCCTTGACTCCCCTCTAATGGGTTTCAGGAAACTAGAAATGTCTTATTCTAATAGCTACTGTTGCATGAAGCTAGAGGGACAGATAGCTGTGTTTTGTGGTTTAAAAGGAGAAGCTAGAGGGACAGATAGCTGTGTTTTATGGTCTAAAAGGAGAAGCTAGAGGGACAGATAGCTGTGTTTTATGGTCTAAAAGGAGAAGCTAGAGGGACGGATAGCTGTGTTTTATGGTTTAAAAGGAGAAGCTAGAGGGACAGATAGCTGTGTTTTATGGTCTAAAAGGAGAAGCTAGAGGGACGGATAGCTGTGTTTTATGGTCTAAAAGGAGAAGCTAGAGGGACAGATAGCTGTGTTTTATGGTCTAAAAGGAGAAGCTAGAGGGACAGATAGCTGTGTTTTATGGTCTAAAAGGAGAAGCTAGAGGGACAGATAGCTGTGTTTTGTGGTTTAAAAGGAGAGTTCTCTGTAAGTAGCCTATACGGCTCGCATTTTACATTTTTCACCGGCTTCATTAATAAGTGCATCAACGACATCGTCCCCACAGTGACCAATGGATTACAGGCAACATCCGCACTGAGCTAAAGACTAGAGCTGCCACTTTCAAGGAGTGGGACACTAAGAAATCCCGCTACGCCCTCTGACGAACCATCAAACAGGCAAAGCATCAATACAGGACTAAAATCTAATCCTACTACACCGGCTCTGACGCTCGTCAGATGTGGCAGGGCTTGCAAACTATCACGGATTACAAAGAGAAACCCAGCCGCGAGCTGCCCAGTGATGTGAGACTACCAGACGAGATAAATGCCTTCTATGCTCGCTTCGAGGCAACCAACACTGAACCATGCATGAGAGCACCAGCTGTTCCGGACAACTGTGTGATCACGCTCTCCGTAGCCGATGTGAGTAAGACCTTTAAACAGGTTAACATTCACAAGGTTGCAGGGCCAGACGGATTACCAGGACGCGTACTCTGAGCATGCGCTGACCAACTGGCAAGTGTCTTCGCTGACATTTTCAACCTCTTCCTGACCCAGTCTGTAATACCTACATGCTTCAAGCACACCACCATTGTCCCTGTGCGCAAGAACACCAAGGTAACCTGTCTAAATGGCTATCACCCTGTAGCACTCAAATTTGTAGCCATGAAAGGCTTTGAAAGGCTGGTCATGGCTCACATCAACACCATCATCCCAGACACCCTGGATCCACCCACAACCAGAATGAACATTTCTTTGCACTTTGCTAGTAAAAACAAAAGACAGGAACAACACACCCAGATTCTAATCTAATCAAATCGATGTATCTATCCGCCACCCTTCCTTCAAAATAACCCAGTTTCCCTGTAACAGTAAATCCATAGCACTTCCAGTGCAATAGAACATATACAAATTCATAGCTCTTCATGAAGTCTTGAAACATGACCATTTAATTCACAGTAACATTCATTTAGTTGATTTCACGTTTTCATCTGTCTTTACAACTCCAACGGTGTCCATGCTCCCAGGGTTCTATGGGAATGTCCCTAACCAGAGAAAACTATAGATAAGATATGTTTGAGTCCTGTGATAGCCCACAAATGGTCAGCCATCCAAACAATGTCATAAATGGTGATTGAGCCATCACGCTGGGCCTTGGCGCCTGCAAGTCTCCAGTCACCAGTATCACCTTCTCTCATTCTTCCACTACACTCCCAGGTGGTGAGGGTAGGCAACAACACATCCACCACGCTTAACCTCAACACGGGGGCCCCTCAGGGGTGCGTGCTTAGTCCCGTCCTGTACTCCCTGTATACCCATGACTGCGAGGCCAAGCACGACTCCAACACCATCATTAAGTTTGCCGACGATACAAGGGTGGTAGGCCTGATCACCAACGACAATGAGACAGTCTATAGGGAGGAGGTCAGAGACCTGGCAGTGTGGTGCCAGGACCACAACCTCTTCCTCAACATTAGTAAGACAAAGGAGCTGATCGTGGGCTACAGGAAACGGAGGGCTGAGCACGCCCCCATTCACATCGACAGGGCTGTAGTGGAGCGGGTCGAGAGCTTCAAATTCCTCGGTGTCCAGGATCTATCATGGTCCAAACACACCAACACAGTCATGAAGAGGGCACGACAACACCTCCTCCCCCTCAGTAGGCTGAAAAGATTTGGCATGGGCACTCAGATCCTCAAAACGTTCTACAGCTGCATCATTGACAGCATCTTGACTGGCTGCATCACCGCTTGGTATGGCAACTGCTTGGCGTCCAACCGCAAGGCGCTACAGAGGGTAGTGTGTACGGCCCAGTACATCGCTGGGGCCGAGCTCCCTGGCATCAAAGGAAGGCCCTAAAAATTGTCAAAGACTCCAGCCACCCAAGTCATAGACTGTTCTCTCTGCTACCACACGGCGAACCGTACCGATGCACCAAGTCGGGAACCAACAGGACCCTGAACAGCTTCTAGCCCTGAGCCATAAGACTGCTAAATAGATAGTTAAATAGTTAAAGGGATACTTCTCTGTACAGAGAGACATAAAAATGGTATCCACAAGTTCATCTGACTCTGGGGAAGTGGATAAAGGGCCTCATTGCCAAAATCCTGAAGTATCCCTTTAACCAAATAGCTACCCGTAATAGCTGCATTGACCCTTTTTGCACAAACTTTTTTACTCATCACATACACTGCTGCTACTGTTTACTATCTATCCTGTTGCATAGTCACTTTATTCCTATTTATAAACTCAGCAAAAAAAGAAACGTCCCTTTTTCAGGACCCTGTCTTTCAAAGATAATTCGTAAAAATCCAAATAACTTCACAGATCTTAATTATAAAAGGTTTAAACACTGTTTCCCATGCTTGTTCAATGAACCATAAACAATTAATGAACATGCACCTGTGGAACGGTCGTTAAGACACTAACAGCTTACAGATGGTAGGCAATTAAGGTCACATTTATGAAAACTTAGGACACTAAAGAGGCCTTTCTACTGACTCTGAAAAACACCAAAAGAAAGATGCCCAGGGTCCCTGCTCATCTGCGTGAACGTGCCTTAGGCATGCTGCAAGGAGGCATGAGGACTGCAGATGTTGCCAGGGCAATAAATTGCAATGTCCGTACTGTGAGATGCCTAAGACAGCGGTACAGGGAGACAGGACGGACAGCTGATCGCCCTCGCAGTGGCAGACCGCCTGCACAGGATCGGTACATCCGAACATCACACCTGCGGGACAGGTACAGAATGGCAACAACAACTGCCCGAGTTACACCAGGAACGCACAATCCCTCCATCAGTGCTCAGACTGTCCGCAATAGACTGAGAGAGACTGGACTGAGGGCTTGTAGGCCTGTTGTAAGGCAGGTCCTCACCAGACATCACCGGCAACAACGTCGCCTATGGGCTCAAACCCACCGTCGCTGGACCAGACAGGACTGGCAAAAAGTGCTCTTCACCGACGAGTCGCGGTTTTGTCTCACCAGGGGTGATGGTCGGATTCGTGTTTATCGTCGAAGGAATGAGCTTTACACCGAGGCCTGTACTCTGGAGCGGGATCGATTTGGAGGTGGAGGGTCCGTCATGGTCTGGGGCGGTGTGTCACAGCATCATCGGACTGAGGTTGTTGTCATTGCAGGCAATCTCAACGCTGTGCGTTACAGGGAAGACATCCTCCTCCCTCATGTGGTACCCTTCCTGCAGGCTCATCCTGACATGACCCTCCAGCATGACAATGCCACCAGCCATACTGCTCGTTCTGTGCGTGATTTCCTGCAAGACAGGAATGTCAGTGTTCTGCCATGGCCAACGAAGAGCACGGATCTCAATCCCATTGAGCACTTCTGGGACCTGTTGGATCGGAGGGTGAGGGCTAGGGCCAATCCCCCCAGAAATGTCTGGGAACTTGCAGGTGCCTTGGTGGAAGAGTGGGGTAACATCTCACAGCAAGAACTGGCAAATCTGGTGCAGTCCATGAGAAGGAGATTCACTGCAGTACTTAATGCAGCTGGTGGCCACACCAGATACTTACTGTTACTTTTGATTTTGACCCCCCCCCCCCCCCCTTTGTTCAGGGACACATTATTCAATTTCTGTTAGTCACATGTCTGTGGAACTTGTTCAGTTTATGTCACAATTACCTTGGTACCCCTGCACATCGACTCGGTACTGGTAACCCGTGTATATAGCCAAATTATCGTTACTCATTGTGTATTTAATGTTACTTTTATTATTACGTGTTATTACTTTTCAATTATTTCTCTATTTTCTTTCTCTCTGCATTGTTGGGATGGGCCCGTAAGGAAGCATATCACCTGTTAGTCTACACACTGTTGATACGAAGCATGTGACAAATAAAATTAGATTAGATTTTGTCTTTCGGAAATGAGTAATTCCCCTGAAGTCATTGCTTATATCACACTAGTGCCATGAATGTAAAACTAGCTCTCAGTGACTGTGTGTCACTAACCAGGCCTCATGTTTGCCGTCTGTCTGTGTCCTTGTCAGCGTTCCAGGTTCACCTTGTCCTGGACAGACTCAAACACAAGGGGGCGACAAAGAGAGTTCTGTTCCTCCACAGCAAGACGTCCCAGTACACCAAGAACATGACGGTCAGCAACGGCCAAGGACCAGCCTGCGAGGAGCAGGAAGCCTTCCTCATAGTGAGTTACTATTGTTAAGTATTGCTCTAGGCCACAGGTGTCCTCTGTGTAGCTCAGTCGGTAGGGCATGGCGCTTGGAACGCCAGGGTTGTGGGTTCGATTCCCACGGGGGGGCAGTATAAAAAATGTATGCACTCACTAACTGTAAGTCGCTCTGGATAAGAGCGTCTGCTAAAATTACTAAAATGTGTCAAACTCATTCCACAGAGGGCCGAATGTCTGCGGGTCTTCGCTTGTCCTTGATTGATTAATTATGGTCACTAATTAGTAAGGAATTCCCCTCACCTGGTTGAATAGGACTTAATTGAAAGGAAAAACCTGCAGACACTTGGCCCTCCATGGAATGAGTTTGACAACCCCTGCTGTAGTCCTTCCTTATAGAGATGCTGAGCAATAGACTTTATTGTCCTGTGTGCATGTGTTCATGGAATGTGTTGAGCACTCTAATACCCTTTACACAGTACTGAGCTGAACCAAGGTCGAGCTGCACTATGTTGGCCTGGCCCAAGGTCGAGCTGCACTATGTTGGCCAGGCCCAAGGTCGAGCTGCACTATGTTGGCCTGGCCCAAGGTCGAGCTGCACTATGTTGGCCAGGCCCAAGGTCGAGCTGCACTATGTTGGCCAGGCCCAAGGTCGAGCTGCACTATGTTGGCCAGGCCCAAGGTCGAGCTGCACTATGTTGGCCTGGCCCAAGGTCGAGCTGCACTATGTTGGCCAGGCCCAAGGTCGAGCTGCACTATGTTGGCCAGGCCCAAGGTCGAGCTGCACTATGTTGGCCAGGCCCAAGGTCGAGCTGCACTATGTTGGCCTGGCCCAAGGTCGAGCTGCACTATGTTGGCCAGGCCCAAGGTCGAGCTGCACTATGTTGGCCTGGCCCAAGGTCGAGCTGCACTATGTTGGCCTGGCCCAAGGTCGAGCTGCACTATGTTGGCCTGGCCCAAGGTCGAGCTGCACTATGTTGGCCTGGCCCAAGGTCGAGCTGCACTATGTTGGCCTGTCCCGTAGTTCCTCTAGCCATAATGGAGAGGACAATGTGAAAGAACATAGCTGTGACAGGACAGTATGGACTGGTCGGCATGACTCCTACATTTACAGCTTCACTGATTTGTTTACTGTTTACTTCACTTTTACTAAACCCTACTAGGGATGGTCATGAGTAATTGAGTACTCGAACGGACATCAAAACTCAAACTTTAACCAGAGATTAAAAAAAATAAAAATAATTCTAAGCTATTTGGTGGAATTCCCCACATCAGTACACCACCAGCCTGTACCGTTGACACCAGGCAGGATGGGGCCATGGACTCATGCTGCTTATGCCAAATCCTGACTCTGCCATCAGCATGACGTAACAGCATTCATCGGACCAGGCAATGTTTTTCCACTGGAGCCGCTTCTTCTTGTTTTTAGCTGATAGGAGTGGAACCTGGTGTGGTCGTCTGCTGCAATAGCCCATCCGTGACAAGGATCGACAAGTTGTGCGTTCCGAGACGCCGTTCTGCACACCACTACTGCGCTGTTATTTGCCTCTTTGTGGCTCCGCCTGTTAGCTTGCATGATTCCTGCCATTTTCCTTTGACCTCTCTCGTCAACGAGCTGTTTTTGCCCCGTAGGACTGCCGCTGACTTGATGTTTTTTTTTGTTTGTTGCACCATTCTTTGTAAACCCTACACACTGTCACTCAGGAGGGCAGCCGTTTCTGAGATACTGGAACCGGCACGACTGGCGCTGACGATTATACCACGCTCAAAGTTGCTTAGGTCACTTGTTTTTTGCCCATTCTAACGTTCAATCAAACAGTAACTGAACGTCTCGATGCCTGTCTGCCTGAACGGGGTGGCGTACCTGATAAACTGTCCGGTGAGTGTGTGTTCCAATGACGAGCTGCAGTTTGGGAATAGTTGCTTCCCGTCTATCTTCTTCTTGGGCTACTTTGCGAACTGCTAGTGCCATTAAGAAATGGTTAGCCTCGGCTATAACCCCCTTAAACATAGACAGGTTCCACACTGAAAATATGTAAAGGAAATATGTAAAAACATTAGTTTGATGAAGACAGAGAGATATTTTCATCAGAATCATTAAGCCTAGGCCTACTCACCAAAACAGATGTCGTGGCCGTAATTCATCACCAGACAGTGTTCGATGTGGAATTGTTCATCCATGTTGAAAATGACAAAGAACAGGCAGAATAAACCAAATTGAACGTCTGTATATATATATATATATATATATATATATATATATATATATATATATATATATATATATATATATATATAAATGATTTTGGTTCGTAAACCTGAATAAATGTTCTTTAAACTCGCCAAACTGAGACCCGTTTCAAATTATCACTCTGAGAAAAACTGTTCTATATTATTCTGTTAAATTACATCATGTTTTTTACATCTAAAAATATAAAATACGTATGTCTTGTCTGTGATAAGGGCTCAGGAAATAGGACCGTATTGTCTGCTAAATGAACAAAACATGTCTATTCCATTGCAGCTACAGGATTCTACAAGCAAGCACCATTACTGAAGTTACTGCCTTATTGAAGATTGTGTTCCATGATATAATATAACCAGTTGATATTACAGATTGTGTTCCACTATATAATATAACCAGTTGATATTACAGATTGTGTTCCATGATATAATATAACCAGTTGATATTACAGATTGTGTTCCATGATATAATATAACCAGTTGATATTACAGATTGTGTTCCATGATATAATATAACCAGTTGATATTACAGATTGTGTTCCACTATATAATATAACCAGTTGATATTACAGATTGTGTTCCATGATATAATATAACCAGTTGATATTACAGATTGTGTTCCATGATATAATATAACCAGTTGATATTACAGATTGTGTTCCATTATATAATATAACCAGTTGATATTACAGATTGTGTTCCATGATATAACATAACCAGTTGATATTACAGATTGTGTTCCACTATATAATATAACCAGTTGATATTACAGATTGTGTTCCATGATATAATATAACCAGTTGATATTACAGATTGTGTTCCATGATATAATATAACCAGTTGATATTACAGATTGTGTTCCATGATATAATATAACCAGTTGATATTACAGATTGTGTTCCATGATATAATATAACCAGTTGATATTACAGATTGTGTTCCATGATATAATATAACCAGTTGATATTACAGATTGTGTTCCATGATATAACATAACCAGTTGATATTACAGATTGTGTTCCATGATATAATATAACCAGTTGATATTACAGATTGTGTTCCATGATATAATATAACCAGTTGATATTACAGATTGTGTTCCACTATATAATATAACCAGTTGATATTACAGATTGTGTTCCACTATATAATATAACCAGTTGATATTACAGATTGTGTTCCATGATATAATATAACCAGTTGATATTACAGATTGTGTTCCACTATATAATATAACCAGTTGATATTACAGATTGTGTTCCACTATATAATATAACCAGTTGATATTACAGATTGTGTTCCATGATATAATATAACCAGTTGATATTACAGATTGTGTTCCATGATATAATATAACCAGTTGATATTACAGATTGTGTTCCATGATATAATATAACCAGTTGATATTACAGATTGTGTTCCATTATATAATATAACCAGTTGATATTACAGATTGTGTTCCATGATATAATATAACCAGTTGATATTACAGATTGTGTTCCATGATATAATATAACCAGTTGATATTACAGATTGTGTTCCATGATATAATATAACCAGTTAATATTACAGATTGTGTTCCATTATATAACATAACCAGGTGATATTACAGATTGTGTTCCATGATATAATATAACCAGTTGATATTACAGATTGTGTTCCATGATATAATATAACCAGTTGATATTACAGATTGTGTTCCACTATATAATATAACCAGTTGATATTACAGATTGTGTTCCATGATATAATATAACCAGTTAATATTACAGATTGTGTTCCATGATATAATATAACCAGTTGATATTACAGATTGTGTTCCATGATATAATATAACCAGTTGATATTACAGATTGTGTTCCATGATATAATATAACCAGTTGATATTACAGATTGTGTTCCATGATATAATATAACCAGTTGATATTACAGATTCAATAGAATAATATTAAATGTCTCTGTGGGGAAGCATTAGAGTCAACATGGGCCAGCATCCCTGTGGAACGCTTTCGACACCTTGGGGGCGTGCAACTCAATATTAGGAAGTTGTTCTTAATGTTTTGTACACTCAGTGTAGAAAGAATAGTTGTGTGTCAAATGAGCTCCAAAGTGCTCCTAACATACCTAAAGCAGACATTTGTTTCATTCCTAGGGGGTTTGATTTTCTCTTTGGCCCTATTTCTAGCCTGGGAGCCAGTTTATGATTCATACAACCTTAAACAGGAACCGATCTGGCTACCAGGCTATACAGTATTTCCTTCCATTTTGTGATCAATATAATAGTTAGCTATGTGTAATATTTGAAATGCCCATCCCTAAACCCAACCCCCTCTCTGCTCTGCAGGATGACTCTGAGTTCCGGGACAAGATCACTCCCATCTCTGTGTTCATGGAGTTCAGTTTGGACTACCAGCAGGCTGCAGATAAGACCGGCCTACTGCCTATCGTGGATCAGACTGCCCTCACCAACATCTCCAAACAGGTACACATACGTCTTTAACCAAGTCTACGTCCCAAATGGCACCCCTATTCCCGATTATAGTGCACTACGTTTACTACAGGCTCTGGTCAAAAGTAGTGCACTATGTAGGGAATAGGGTGCCATTTGGGAAGGACAATAACTGTTGTGATCAGGTATAGAGTAGCACATGGTGAGTAGGAGAGGTGGGTCACATGATGAGTAGGAGAGGTGGGTCGCATGGTGAAAAGGAGAGGTGGGTCACATGGTGAGTAGGAGAGGTGGGTCACATGGTGAGTAGGAGAGGTGGGTCACATGATGAGTAGGAGAGGTGGGTCACATGGTCACATGGTTAGTAGGAGAGTTGGATCACATGGTTAGTAGGAGAGTTGAGTCACATGGTTAGTAGGAGAGGTGGGTCACATGGTCACATGGTTAGTAGGAGAGGTGGGTCACATGGTGAAAAGGGGAGGTGGGTCACATGGTGAGTAGGAGAGGTGGGTCACATGGTTAGTAGGAGAGGTGGGTCACATGGTTAGTAGGAGAGGTGGGTCACATGGTAGTAGGAGAGGTGGGTCACATGGTAGTAGGAGAGGTGGGTCACATGGTTAGTAGGAGAGAAGGGTCACATGGTGAGTAGGAGAGGTGGGTCACATGGTTAGTAGGAGAGGTGGGTCACATGGTGAGTAGGAGAGGTGGGTCACATGGTTAGTAGGAGAGGTGGGTCACATGGTGAGTAGGAGAGGTGGGTCACATGGTTAGTAGGAGAGGTGGGTCACATGGTGAGTAGGAGAGGTGGGTCACATGGTGAGTAGGAGAGGTGGGTCACATGGTCACATGGTTAGTAGGAGAGGTGGGTCACATGGTGAAAAGAGGAGGTGGGTCACATGGTGAGTTGGAGAGGTGGGTCACATGGTGAGAAGGAGAGGTGGGTCACATGGTGAGTAGGAGAGGTGGGTCACATAGTGGATCACGTGGTTAGTAGGAGAGGTGGGTCACATGGTCATATGGTGAGTAGGAGGGTGGGTGAAGTTTTTTGGGTAAACAAACTGTCTACTTGTGACAATGTTTTTCAGGCCCATATCCTACTGGACTGTGGAGATGACAACATCTGTAAGCCAGACCTCCAGCTGTCTGTATTGAGGTGAGTGCACCTCCTCCTCCAGTATCTCATGCCACATTCATTAATTCCTAACATAGTTAGCCAAGTCGAGCTGTTTTGGGCTGGTTACACATCCACCATAGTTGTTGAAACCATGCTGGAAAGGACAAAGTGATATAAAATATCTCAGCCAGCACAGTAAGGTTCTGGTTGACCATCTAGTGTGAATCGGGCATCAGTGAGATGGTCCTAACTTTTCCATTAGTTTTCTTTCTACCACCAGTGACCAGAAGGAGATTGTCCTAACTGAGTAAGGTTACAAAATCCCAGAAACCTTCCCAGAGTTTTCTGAAATCCTAGTTGGAGGATTCCCGTAATCAGGTGAGCATAATCAGGGAGGCAATCATCCAACCAGGATTTCTGACAAACCTAGGAACTTTGGCATAGCAAAATTATGGAAACTTTCCCAGAGTCTAACTCCATTCTGTAAATCCGATCTCTGACTTCCCCACTGACCAGAAGCAGATCATTCTGTTAATCCGATCTCTGACCTCCCCAGTGACCAGAAGCAGATCATTCTGTTAATCCGATCTCTGACCTCCCCAGTGACCAGAAGGAGATCATTCTGTTAATCCGATCTCTGACCTCCCCAGTGACCAGAAGGAGATCTACATAGGAGATGATAACCCCTTGACCCTGGAGGTGACAGCGGAGAACAGAGGAGAGGGGGCGTACGAGGCAGAGCTACATGTCTTCCTTCCTCCCCAGGCTGACTTCACTGGGGTCGTACGCAACAGTGAGGTAAAATAGAATAGTGGCCAGTGAAGACAACTAGGCCGATCTCTGCACCAGTGTGACAGATGTGATCATACTTTGTAACTCTCTTACATTGTGTTTTTTAAAGAAAGTACTGTCCAGCCTGCGATCCCAGTTGATTGGTGTTTATTTCTGACGATAGACACAAGGTAGAAGATTAGATGTGCAGGACAACAGTATGTTGATGGCTGTAGATTCGTGATTCGTCTTTTAGCATGGAAATACAGTGCCTTGCAAAAGTATTCATCCTCCTTGGCGTTTTTCCTATATTGATGCATTACAACCTGTAATGTAAATGGATTTCTATTTGGATTTCATGTAATGGACATACACAAAATAGTCCAGATTGGTGAAGTGAAATGAAAAAAATAACGTAATTTTTTTTTCTAAAAAATAAAGAACGGAAAAGTGGTGCGTGCATATGTATTCACCCCCTTTGCTATGAAGCCCCTAAATAAGATCTGGTGCAACCAATTACCTTCAGAAGTCACATAATTAGTTAAATAAAGTCCACCTGTGTGCAATCTAAGTGCCACATGATTGATCTCATTATATATACACCTGTTCTGAAAGGCCCCAGAGTCTGCAACACCACTAAGCAAGGGGCACCACCAAGGAAGCGGCACCATGAAGACCAAGGAGCTCTCCAAACAGGTCAGGGACAAAGTTGTGGAGAAGTACAGATCAGGGTTGGGTTATAAAAAAACAAAACATGTTTGGTGTTCGCCAAAAGGCATGTGGGAGACTGAGCTTGAGCTGTTTGGCCATCGAGGAAAACGCTATGTCTGGCGCAAACCCAACACCCTTCATCACCCTGAGAACACCATCCCCACATTGAAGCATGGTGATGGCAGCATCATGCTATGGGGATGTTTTTCATCGGCAGGGACTGGGAAACTTGTCAGAATTGAAGGAATGATGGATGGTGCTAAATACAGGGAAATTCTTGAGGGAAACCGGTTTCAGTCTTCCAGAGATTTGAGACTGGGATGGAGGTTCACCTTCCAGCAGGACAATGACCCTAAGCATACTGCTAAAGCAACAACAACAAAAAAAATTTGCATCTTCAAAGTGGAAGGCATGTTTTGTAAATCAAATGATACAATCCCCCCAAAAATCAATTTTACTTCCAGGTTGTAAGGCAACAAAATAGGAAAAATGCCAAGGGGGGTGAATACTTTCGCAAGTCACTGTAACTGTGAATTAGCAGGGAGCTAATGACAATTAGAGAATGCTATCTAACCTGCTCTTACAGCAATAACATACAAACGCACATCCCAGGATGCCCCCAATATCTACCAGGCGCCGTACACATACTGTGTCTATAGGAATACATAAACATGAAATAAAAAAATTCTGCAGTGTCAGGTGGAAACATAACCAACCCTGTAATTTACAGTGAGTGTATGAAACATTAGGAACACCCTTTTGCCCTCAGAACAGCCTCAATTCGTCGGGGCCGTTGACTCTACAAGGTGTCGAAAGCGATCCACAGGGAGACTGGCCCACGTTGACTCCAATGCTTCCCACAGTTGTGTCAAGTTGGCTGGATGTCTTTTGGGTGGTGGACCATACTTGATACGGGAAACTGTTGAGTGCGGAAAAAACCCAGCAGCATTGCCGTTCTTGATCCACTCAAACCGGTGCGCCTGGCACCTACTACCATACCCCGTTCAAAGGCACTTAAATATTTTGTCTTGCCCATTCACCCTCTGAATGGCACACATACACTACCGGTCAAAAGGTTTAGAACACCGACTCATTCAAGGGTTTTTTCTTTATTTGTACTATTTCTACATTGTAGAATAATAGCGAAGACATCAAAACTATGAAATAACACGTATGGAATCATGTAGTAACCAAAAAAGGTGTTAAACAAATCCAAATATATTTTATATACCAGGCGCACCGGTTTATTTTGTCGTGTTTCTCCCTTCCAGACTCTGTCGAGACTGTCCTGTGCCTACAAGACAGAGAACCAGACCAGGGTGGTGGTGTGTGATCTGGGGAACCCCATGAAAGGAGGAACTAAGGTGAGTGGAACGGAGAGAGGAGATGGTGACAGTCCCGTTGACCTGAATGGGGATTTTATTTCTATGACGGGTGTCGACGGACACCTAGTCAGCACCATTTCACCAGGTCAAATACCCGGTACATATGAATGTACTTTGTGAATAAAGTTGATTCCCGATTTTTCTGATCAGAGGGTGCGTTTAAACAGGCCGCCCAATTCTGATCTTTTATTGGCAAAAGATCTGATCTGAATGGTGATGATCCTGATGTTGTGGTGTGATGTCGTCTTCAGGTGCTGGCCGGTCTGCGCTTCAGCGTTCACCAGCTCTCCGAGCAGGACACGTCTGTCAAGTTTGACCTGCAGATACAGAGGTAATGATCTGGTAACAAAGGGTTCAGAATACCGTTATTCTTATAGCTTATGGAAATAAAATAACTTTGCTGAGCTTTATTTTCTAACAACTGGGTATGTATACAAGTCTCTGTTGCAAGAGATGTAATCTTAATGAGCTTAACCTGTGTAAATATAATAATGAAACAGTGTCTCACACATCGAATGGTCTGTTATGAGTTTCATTCATAAAGTTAGTTAGGACCTAATTTGACTAAAGTGCTTTTAGAGAAGAGACTACCTATGCTCTCTCCACACACATCCTGACTCTGTGGAAACAGAGACAGTTTGAGACTAAAGGTGTATTCCCAAATAGCACCCAACTCCCTATCGACCAGAGCGAAAGTAGTGCACTACATAGGGAATAGGGGGGCCTTTTTTGGGATGCATAGTAAGGCATGGTGTCTCTGTCGTCCCTGGTTGGATTCAAAGGGGCTTGTAAATGACAGAGTAGCTGTATCCTCTGTATATCCTGTAAATGACAGAGTAGCTGTATCCTCTGGATATCCTGTAAATGACAGAGTAGCTGTATCCTCTGGATATCCTGTAAATGACAGAGTAGCTGTATCCTCTGGATATCCTGTAAATGACAGAGTAGCTGTATCCTCTGGATATCCTGTAAATGACAGAGTAGCTGTATCCTCTGGATATCCTGTAAATGACAGAGTAGCTGTATCCTCTGGATATCCTGTAAATGACAGAGTAGCTGTATCCTCTGGATATCCTGTAAATGACAGAGTAGCTGTATCCTCTGGATATCCTGTAAATGACAGAGTAGCTGTATCCTCTGGATATCCTGTAAATGACAGAGTAGCTGTATCCTCTGGATATCCTGTAAATGACAGAGTAGCTGTATCCTCTGGATATCCTGTTAAACCTCTTATGTTTTACATTTTTTACATTTTCGTCATTTAGCAGACGCTCTTATCCAGAGCGACTTACATATTGGTGCATTCACCTTATAGCCAGTGGGAATGATAGGCTCTCTAAACCACGCCGCCTTATTCTGTTGACCAAAGTCACCGTTGAATTGTTTAGAATAGTTGAGAGTGTCTGGAGGAGTTGTTTTATGAGGCTTTATGAGGCAGTTCAAATCATTGGATGAAGTTACAGTAATGATGCAATGGCGCCACCCTATGGACATTCTGTGTTATAGCATCAACCTGTACCGCGGTGTACACTGCTTATCTGATGTTTTCACCATCTGGTCTTTTTATAAGATAATAATGTATTGTCTTTCAGTTCCAACCAGTTCAGCAGCACCAGCAGACTGGTCTCCAGCATCACAAAGCTGGCTGTCCTCGCCAAGGTGGATATCAGAGGGTATGTTGTTGACATGTCTTCTCACTCATTCTAATACCTATTTGCTCCAATGAAGGTCATTACTGATCCAAAAGCTTAGCCGTTAAATACTGAAATATCATCTGATTGAAGTGTGCAGAGACTGCTTCTTCACTCCTGCACCTTCTCTCACCCTAATGGGCAGGTGTGAGGTCACCAACATACAGTGCCTTCTGAAAGTATTCAGACCCCTTGACTTTTTCCACATTTTGTTACATTACAGCCTTATTCTAAAATGGATAAAATAAAATAAAATAAAAAACTGAAATACCTTATTTACATAAGTATTCTGACCCTTTGCTATGAGACTCGAAATTGAGCTCAGGTGGATCCTGTTTCCATTGATCATCCTTGAGATGTTTCTACAACTTGATTGGAGTCCACCTGTGGTAAATTCAATTGATTGGACATGATTTGGAAAGGCACACAGTCAGAGCAAAAACCAAGCCGTGAGGTCGAAGGAATTGTCCGTAGAGCTCCGAGACAGGATTGTGTCGAGGCACAGATCTGGGGAAGGGTACCAACACATTTCTGCAGCATTGAAGGTCCCTGAGAACACAGTGGCCTCCAACATTGTTATTTTTATTTTATTTTTGTTTTATTACATTTTCATTATTTGGGGGTAGATCAGCTTTAATATTGCAGATAGATTGTAACTTCCATCAATGGAATTGTCTGCATCACTTCCAATCCCCCATATGTTTTTTTATTTCTCGCAAATATATATATACAGTGGGGAGAACAAGTATTTGATACACTGCCGATTTTGCAGGTTTTCCTACTTACAAAGCATGTAGAGGTCTGTAATTGTAATCATAGGTACACTTCAACTGTGAGAGACGGAATCTAAAACAAAAATCCAGAAAATCACATTGTATGATTTTTAAGTAATTAATTTGCATTTTATTGCATGACATAAGTATTTGATCAGAAAAGCAGAACTTAATATTTGGTACAGAAACCTTTGTTTGCAATTACAGAGATCATACGTTTCCTGTAGGTCTTTACCAGGTTTGCACACACTGCAGCAGGGATTTTGGCCCACTCCTCCATACAGACCTTCTCCAGATCCTTCAGGTTTCGGGGCTGTCGCTGGGCAATACGGACTTTCAGCTCCCTCCAAAGATTTTCTATTGGGTTCAGGTCTGGAGACTGGCTAGGCCACTCCAGGACCTTGAGATGCTTCTTACGGAGCCACTCCTTAGTTGCCCTGGCTGTGTGTTTCGGGTCGTTGTCATGCTGGAAGACTCAGCCACGACCCATCTTCAATGCTCTTACTGAGGGAAGGAGGTTGTTGGCCAAGATCTCGCGATACATGGCCCCTTCCATCCTCCCCTCAATACGGTGCAGTCGTCCTGTCCCCTTTGCAGAAAAGCATCCCCAAATAATGATTTTTCCACCTCCATGCTTCACGGTTGGGATGGTGTTCTTGGGGTTGTACACATCCTTCTTCTTCCTCCAAACACGGCGAGTGGAGTTTAGACCAAAAGGCTCTATTTTTGTCTCATCAGACCACATGACCTTCTCCCATTCCTCCTCTGGATCATCCAGATGGTCATTGGCAAACTTCAGACGGGCCTGGACATGCGCTGGCTTGAGCAGGGGGACCTTGCGTGCGCTGCAGGATTTTAATCCATGACGTCGTAGTGTGTTACTAATAGTTTTCTTTGAGACTGTGGTCCCAGCTCTCTTCAGGTCATTGACCAGGTCCTGCCGTGTAGTTCTGGGCTGATCCCTCACCTTCCTCATGATCATTGATGCCCCACGAGGTGAGATCTTGCATGGAGCCCCAGACCGAGGGTGATTGACCGTCATCTTGAACTTCTTCCATTTTCTAATAATTGCGCCAACAGTTGTTGCCTTCTCACCAAGCTGCTTGCCTATTGTCCTGTAGCCCATCCCAGCCTTGTGCAGGTCTACAATTTTAACCCTGATGTCCTTACACAGCGCTCTGGTCTTGGCCATTGTGGAGAGGTTGGAATCTGTTTGATTGAGTGTGTGGACAGGTGTCTTTTATACAGGTAACGAGTTCAAACAGGTGCAGTTAATACAGGTAATGAGTGGAGAACAGGAGGGCTTATTAAAGAAAAACGAACAGGTCTGCGAGAGCCGGAATTCTTACTGGTTGGTAGGTGATCAAATACTTATGTCATGCAATAAAATGCAAATTAATTACTTCAAAATCATACAATGTGATTTTCTGGATTTTTGTTTTAGATTCCGTCTCTCACAGTTGAAGTGTACCTATGATAAAAATTACAGACCTCTACATGCTTTGTAAGTAGGAAAACCTGCAAAATCGGCAGTGTATCAAATACTTGTTCTCCCCACAGTATATATATATACAGTGAGGGAAAAAAGTATTTGATCCCCTGATGATTTTGTACGTTTGCCCACTGACAAAGAAATTATCAGTCTATAATTTTAATGGTAGGTTTATTTGAACAGTGAGAGACAGAATAACAACAAAAAACTCCAGAAAAACGCATGTCAAAAATGTTATGAATTGATTTGCATTTTAATGAGGGAAATAAGTATTTGACCCCCTCTCAATCAGAAAGATTTCTGGCTCCCAGGTCAATCTCCCTCGGCCTGGGGCTCCATGCAAGATCTCACCTCGTGGAGTTGCAATGATCATGAGAACAGTGAGGAATCAGCCCAGAACTACACGGGAGGATCTTGTCAATGATCTCAAGGCAGCTGGGACCACAGTCACCAAGAAAACAATTGGTAACACACTACGACGTGAAGGACTGAAATCCTGCAGCGCCCGCAAGGTCCCCCTGCTCAAGAAAGCACATATACAGGCCCGTCTGAAGTTTGCCAATGAACATCTGAATGATTCAGAGGAGAACAGGGTGAAAGTGTTGTGGTCAGATGAGACCAAAATGGAGCACTTTGGCATCAACTCAACTCGCTCTGTTTGGAGGAAGAGGAATGCTGCCTATGACCCCAAGAACACCATCCCCAACGTCGAACATGGAGGTGGAAACATTATGCTTTGGGGGTGTTTTTCTGCTAAGGGGACAGGACAACTTCACTGCATCAAAGGGACGATGGACGGGGCCATGTACCGTCAAATCTTGGGTGAGAACCTCATTCCCTCAGCCAGGCCATTGAAAATGGGTCATGGATGGGTATTCCAGCATGACAATGACCCAAAACACACGGCCAAGGCAACAAAGGAGTGGCTCAAGAAGAAGCACATTAAGGTCCTGGAGTGGCCTAGCCAGTCTCCAGACCTTAATCCCATAGAAAATCTGTAGCTGAAGGTTCGAGTTGCCAAACGTCAGCCTCGAAACCTTAATGACTTGGAGAAGATCTGCAAAGAGGAGTGGGACAAAATCCCTCCTGAGATGTGTGCAAACCTGGTGGCCAACTACAAGAAACGTCTGACCTCTGTGATTGCCAACAAGGGTTTTGCCACCAAGTACTAAGTCATATTTTGCAGAGGGGGTCAAATACTTATTTCCCTCATTAAAATGCAAATCAATTTATAACATTTTTGACATGCATTTTTCTGGATTTTTTTGTTGTTATTCTGTCTCTCACTCTTCAAATAAACCTACCATTAAAATGATAGACTGATCATGTCTTTGTCAGTGGGCAAACGTACAAAATCAGCAGGGGATCAAATACTTTTTTCCCTCACTGTATATACATACATATACACATGCATACATATGATGGCCTTCATCATTCTTAAATGGAGGAAGTTTGGAGCCACCAAGACTCTTCCTAGAGCTGGCTGCACGGCCAAACTGAGCAATCAGGGGAGAAGGGCCTTGGTCAGGGAGGTGACCAAGAACCTGATGGTCACTCTGACAGAGCTCCAGAGTTCCTCTGTGGAGATGGGAGAATCTTCCAGAAGGACAACCATCTCTGCAGCACTCCACCAATCAGGTCTTTATGGTAGAGAGGTCAGACGGAAGCCACTCCTCAGTAAAAGGCACATGACAGCCTGCTTGGAATTTGCCAAAAGGCACCTAAAGGACTCTCAGACAATGAGAAACAAGATTCTCTGGTCTGATGAAACCATAGATTGAACTCTTTGGCCTGAATGCCAAGCGTCATGTCTGGAGGAAACCTGGCACCATCCCTACAGTGAAGTATTGTGGTGGCAGAATCATGCTGTGGGGATGTTTTTCAGTGGCAGGGACTGGGAGACTAGTCAGGATCGAGGCAAAGATGAACGGAGCAAAGTACAGAGAGATCCTTGATCAAAACCTGCTCCAGAGCGCTCAGGACCTCAGACTGGGGTGAAGGTTCACCTTCCAACAGGACAACGACCCTAAGCACACAGCAAGACAACGCAGGAGTGGCTTCGGGACAAGTCTCTGAATGTCCTTGAGTGGCCCAGCCAGAGCCCGGACTTGAACCTGATTGAACATCTCTGGAAAGACCTGAAAATAGCTGTGCAGCAACGCTCCCCATCCAACCTGACAGAGCTTGAGAGGATCTGCAGAGAAGAATGGGAGAAACTCCCCAAATACAGGTGTGCCAAGCTTGTAGCGTCATACCCAAGAAGACTGGAGGCTGTAATCGCTGCCAAAGGTGCTTCAACAAAGTACTGAGTAAAGGGTCTGAATACTTATGTAAATTTTCTGAAATGTATAAAAACCTATTTTTGCTTTGTCATTATGGGGTATTGTGTTTAGATTGATGAGGGAAAAATATATATTTAATCACTTTTAGAATAAGCCTGTAACTTAACAAAATGTGGAAAAAGTAAAGGGGTCTGAATACTTCCCGAAGGCGCTGTACATCATAAAGTGCAGATTGCATTTAGATGATTGTTCTTATAACCTATAACATCTAAACAAATAATAACAGCAAAGTAGTGCATGTAAATGTCTGCCGGCTCAAATCCCAGGTGGGGCCTTGTGTCTGTCTGTGCCTCAGAGCTGAGGGTTTAGCACAGAAGGGTTTAGCACAAAGGGGTTTAGCACAGAAGGGTTTAGCACAAAGGGGTTTAGCACATAAGGGTTTAGCACAGAAGGGTTTAGCACAGAAGGGTTTAGCACAAAGGGGTTTAGCACAGAAGGGTTTAGCACATAAGGGTTTAGCACATAAGGGTTTTAGCACAGAAGGGTTTAGCACAGAAGGGTTTAGCACAAAGGGGTTTAGCACATAAGGGTTTAGCACAAAGGGGTTTAGCACAAAGGGGTTTAGCACAGAAGGGTTTAGCACAAAGGGGTTTAGCACATAAGGGTTTAGCACAAAGGGGTTTAGCACAGAAGGGTTTAGCACAAAGGGGTTTAGCACAGAAGGGTTTAGCACAAAGGGGTTTACACAAAGGGGTTTAGCACAGAAGGGTTTAGCACAGAAGGGGTTTAGCCTGATGGAATGTATGTATTCTTGATAAGCTTTTGTATCCATGATACATGTCTGCTTAGCAAAGACAGTACTGATGTCCCCTACCACCTCTGATATAGTAATGGCTTTACTGATTCATGCTTACATTAACAGAATGTGAAGAAATGCAGAATGTACTTTATAAATCCGTATTTTGCCCAGTTGTGAACCCCAATACCCACCTCTCTCTGCTGCAGGGTGTCGGTTCCTGACCAGGTCTTCCTGCCCATTGCTAACTGGCAGCCCAAAGATAACCCTGTCGTAGGAGACGACATCGGTCCACAGATACTGCACATCTATGAGGTCAGCCATGACACTGTGTCTGCGTCTGAAATTGCACTCTATTCCCTATATAGGCTGGTCAAATGCCACCCTATTCCCTATATAGGCTGGTCAAATGGCACTCTATTCCCTATATAGGCTGGTCAAATGGCACTCTATTCCCTATATAGGCTGGTCAAATTGCACCCTATTCCCTATATAGGCTGGGCAAATTGCACCCTATTCCCTATATAGGCTGGTCAAATGGCACTCTATTCCCTATATAGGCTGGTCAAATGGCACTCTATTCCCTATATAGGCTGGTCAAATTGCACCCTATTCCCTATATAGGCTGGTCAAATTGCACCCTATAACCTATATAGGCTGGTCAAATTGCACCCTATTCCCTATATAGGCTGGTCAAATTGCACCCTATTCGCTATATAGGCTGGTCAAATTGCACCCTATTCCCTATATAGGCTGGTCAAATGGCACCCTATTCCCTATATAGACTGGTCAAATTGCACCCTATTCCCTATATAGGCTGGTCAAATTGCACCCTATTCCCTATATAGGCTGGTCAAATGGCACCCTATTCGCTATATAGGCTGGTCAAATTGCACTCTATTCCCTATATAGACTGGTCAAATTGCACCCTATTCCCTATATAGACTGGTCAAATTGCACTATATTGGGTTCCATGTCATGACGTTAGACCCACCATGTAATTCATCTGTAGATGAATGTCAACTGACGAATGTAAACTGACACAGCTGACCTTTTCACATAATACCATTAAATCGCCGTGATAAAGTCAGCGAAGCCCTCTTTTAACCGGCTAATCTGTCTTGTTTCCAGTTGCGTAACAGAGGCCCCAGCACCTTCAGCAAGGCCATGCTGGACATCGAGTGGCCCTACAGGTTCAACAACGGCTCTCTGCTCTACATCACCAAGCTGGAGGTGGACGGGGACGGAGGAATGAACTGCAGTACGGACATGGAGATCAACCCGCTCAATGTCTCAGTACGTCGCCTTCTCTCACTTCCATTTCAGCCATAGACACTGGCTCTTTTTCAAACAGTCCGAACAGTCTGTCCTCTCCTTGCCTCCTCCCCCTTTATTGCACTGATCTGAAAGAAGTGACCAGGTGAACGTCACAGCCTGGTGACCAGGTGAACGTCACAGCCTGGTGACCAGGTGAACGTCACAGCCTGGTGACCAGGTGAACGTCAGCCTGGTGACCAGGTGAACGTCACAGCCTGGTGACCAGGTGAACGTCACAGCCTGGTGACCAGGTGAACGTCACAGCCTGGTGACCAGGTGAACGTCAGCCTGGTGATAAGTTATAAACTAAGCTGCCACTGCGTTGTTACACCAGTCAGTATTTTCCATCAGTTCAGATGAAGGGGAGGAGACAATGAGGGAACAGATTGTTAAACAATTGAGATGGAGCCTACGTTGCTTTTGGTGACAAATAATAATCTTAAGTTATTGAAGGGATTTCCTCTCTCTCTCTCTGTCTGTTCTAGAATCCTCTGTCAGGAGAGACAAATGGTACAGCTTCCACCGGTGGAGACGGTACAGAGGGGAGGAACAGGAACCATGTTCACCGCAGAGAGCTGGAGAGGAAAGAGATGGAGGGAGACCTGGAAACCCTGGTAATGGCATGATTACCTGGCTAATGATGTACTGTCCATATACAGTTGAAGTCGGAAGTTTACATACACCTTAGACAAATACGTTTAAATTCAGTTTTTCAATATTCCTGACATTTAATCCTAGTAAAAATTCCCCGTCTTAGGTCAGTTAGGATCACCACTTCATTTTAAGAATGTGAAATGTCAGAATAATAGTAGAGAGAATTATTTATTTAAGGTTTTATTTCTTTCATCACATTCCCAGTGGGTCAGAAGTTTACATACACTCAATTAGTATTTGGTAGCATTGCCATTAAATTGTTTAACTTGGGTCAAACGTTTTCGGGTAGCCTTCCACAAGTTTCCCACAATAAGTTGGATGATTTTTGGCCCATTCCTCCTGACAGAGCTGGTGTAATGGAGTCAGGTCTGTAGGCCTCCTTGCTCGCACACGCTTTTTCAGTTCCGCCCACACATTTTCTATAGGATTGAGGTCAGGGCTTTGTGATGGCCACTCCAATACCTTGACTTTGTTGTCCTTAAGCCATTTTGCCAAAACTTTGGAAGTATGCTTGGGGTCATTGTCCATTTGGAACACCCATTTGTGACCAAGCTTTAACTTCCTGACTGATGTCTTGAGATGTTGCTTCAATATATCCACATAATTTTCCTTCCTCATGATGTCATCTATTTTGTGAAGTGCACCAGTCCCTCCTGCAGCAAAGCACCCCCACAACATGATGCTGCCACCCCCGTCCTTCACGGTTGGGATGGTGTTCTTCGGCTTGCAAGAACCCCCTTTTTCCTCCAAACATAACGATGGTCATTATGGCCAAACAGTTCTATTTTTGTTTCATCAGACCAGAGGATATTTCTCCAAAATGTACGATCTTTGTCCCCATGTGCAGTTGCAAACCTTTTTTATGGCTGTTTTGGAGCAGTGGCTTCTTCCTTGCTGAGCGGCCTTTCAGGTTATGTCAATATAGGACGCGTTTTACTGTGGATATAGATACTTTTGTACCTGTTTCCTCCAGCATCTTCACAAGGTCCTTTGCTGTTGTTCTGGGATTGATTTGCACTTTTCGCACCAAAGTACGTTCATCTCTAGAAGACAGAACGCGTCTCCTTCCTGAGCGGTATGACGGCTGCGTGGTCCCATGGTGTTTATACTTGCGTACTATTGTTTGTACAGATGAACGTGGTACCTTCAGGCATTTGGAAATTGCTCCCAAGGATGAACCAGACTTTTTAGATTTTCCCATGATGTCAAGCAAAGAGGCACTGAGTTTGAAGGTAGGCCTTGAAATACATCCACAGGTACATCTGCAATTGACTAAAATGATGTAAATTAGCCTATCAGAATCTTCTAAAGTCATGACATCATTTTCTGGAATTTTCCAAGCTGTTTTCCAAGTCAACTTAGTATATGTAAACTTCTGACCCACCGGAATTGTGATACAGTGAATTATAAGTGAAATAATCTGTCTGTAAACAATTGTTGGAAAAATGACTTGTGTCATGCACAAAGTAGATGTCCTAACCGACTTGCCAAACTATAGTTTGTTAACAAGAAATTTGTGGAGTGGTTGAAAAACGAGTTTTAATGACTCCAACCTAAGTGTATGTAAACTTCCGACTTCAACTCTACCAGAGTTTAGGATCAATTCCATTTAAATTCAGTTGATTCAGGAAGTAAACTGCAAGTCTGAAATGTACTTCCTGAATTGCTAACCCTGCTGGCTACAGTACCTGTATGTATTGTGTGTCACTCTGAATGTGTGTCTCCTCACTCAGGACTGTTCGAAGGCCCAGTGCCTGAAGATCCGGTGTCAGGTGGGCCGTGTGGAGAGAGGTCAGAGTACTATCCTCTTCATCCACTCCAGACTGGGGGTGGCCACCTTCCTCAAGGTGAGACTCCTGTCTGTTATAGCCTAGAGCAGGGGGTACATTTACATTTTAGTCATTTAGCAGACGCTCTTATCCAGAGCGACTTACAGTTAGATTATAGATTATTTTTTAAATTTTTTATACCCCCCGTGGGAATCGAACCCACAACCCTGGCGTTGCAAACGCCACGCTCTACCAACTGAGCTACATCCCTGCCGGCCATTCCCTCCCCTACCCTGGACGACGCTGGGCCAATTGTGCGCCGCCCCATGGGTCTCCCGGTCGCGGCCAGCTACGACAGAGCCTGGATTCGAACCAGGATCTCTAGAGATGCAGTGCCTTAGACCACTTCGCCCCTCGGGAGGGGTACTCAACTCTTACAATACGAGGTCCGGCGCCTGCTGGTTTTCTGTTCTACCTGATAATTAATTGCACCCACCTGGTGTCCCAGGTCTAAATCAGTCTCTGATTAGAGGGAAACAATGCAGTGGAACTGGCTTGGAGGTATGGAGTTTAGTTTGAGGGCCCTAGAGGTTAAATACTAGCCTGGCGGTCCCAGATGTGTTTGTGTTGTATCGTACGTCCACTCCACACTGGGGGTGGCCACCTTCCTCAAGGTGAGACATTCCACCTAGGTGGAGCATACAGCAGGGTTGTGTTCATTAGGTACCAAACGGGACTGAAACATTGGAGGTGTACTATCTGTCTAATGAGAAATGCAGTTTCTGATTTCCATTTCAAGACATGTTGCTACAGTGTGTCATAATGAGCAAGAGCCAGGGACACCTGGTTTGACGCATACTGTATGCTTGGTATGCTCGTTAGACGCATCACACTATATCTGGCACCACCAGGCTAGCTATATGAGCCATAGCTGAAATAGATCTGGCACCACCAGACTAGCTATATGGTCCATAACTTAAATATATCTGGCACCACAGGCTAGCTATATGGTCCATAACTTAAATATATCTGGCACCACAGGCTAGCTATATGGGCCATAACTTAAATAATCTGGCACCACAGGCTAGCTATATGGTCCATAATTTAAATATATCTGGCACCACAGGCTAGCTATATGGGCCATAACTTAAAGAAAAGCCTGGCTACCGTTTGATGTAATAAAATAGAGCTGTGATGGATGTGTTTCTTTCATTCAGACTGAGAGCCAGAACCGATCGTTCACCGTGAGATCCTCCGCTTCCTTCAGCGTCATAGAGATGCCTTATAACAAGAACCTGGTGTCTGAGCTGCCCTCCAACGCCACTACGGTGAGTCACATGAAGGCATCACGGGGATAAACCAGGTCTGCCTCTGAAATGGAACCCTAGTCTCTATATAGTGCACTACTTTTGACCAGAGTCCACAGGGTCCTAAATGGTTTGTTGTGGCTGGGTACTACCACAGCAAATAGGTAGTTTCCATTGTCTCTGTGTGTTGGATGAATAAATATGTGTTGTATTGTAAACCCTGTGATGTGTCCCCCAGATAAGTATGTCAGTGATCTGGGTGAAATCGGAGCCTGAACCTGTCCCTGGGTGGGTGGTGGCCCTGGCTGTGCTGGCTGGACTACTGCTGCTGGCTTTACTCATCTTCATCATGTACAAGGTGAGCCAAACCTATCCTCCCTATCCTCCTATCCTCCCCTATCCTCCTATCCCCTATCCTCCCCTATCCTCCTATCCTCCTATCCTCCCCTATCCTCCTATCCTCCCCTATCCTCCTATCCTCCCCTTGCCTCCTATCCTCCCCTTGTCTCCTATCCTCCCCTATCATCCTATCCTCCCCTATCCTCCTATCCTCCCCTTGCCTCCTATCCTCCCCTATCCTCCTAACCCCCCCTTGCCTCCTATCCTCCCCTATCCTCCCCATCCTCCCTTTGCCTCCGATCCTCCTCCTTGCCCGCCTATCCTTCCACTTGGTCCCTATCCTCCCCTTGTCTCTAATCCTCCTTTCTCCTATCCTCCTCCCCTCCCTTTGCTCCTATCCCCCTTGCTCCTCCCTGCCCCTATCCTCCCCTTATCTCCTATCCTCCCCTTGCTCCTCCTCATCCTCTCCCCTTTCTCTTATCTCCCCTATTCCTATCCCCCCTTTCCTCCTATTCCCCCTTCGTCCTATCCACCCACCCCTTCCTCCTATCCTCCCCTTCTCCTATCCTCCCCTTGCCTCCTATCCTCCCTCTGCCTCCTATCCTCCCCTATCTCTATCCCCCCTTCTCCTCCCAACTCCCTTCCTCCTATCCTCCCTTCTCCCTATCCTCCCCTCTCCTCCCTATTTCTCTATCTCCTCCCCTATCCTCCTATCCTCCCCTTGCCTCCTATATCCTCCCTGCCCCTATCCTCCCCTATCTCTCCCTTTCTCCTATCCCCCTTCTCCACCTCCCCTATCCTCCCCTATCATCCTCCCCTTCTATCCTCCCTATCCTCCTATCTCCCTGCCTCCTACCTCCCTATCCTCCTATCCTCCCCTTGCCTCCTATCCTCCTCGTGCCTCCTATCCTCCCCTATCCTCCCCTTTTCTCCTATCCTCCCCTTGCCTCCTATCCTCCCCTATCCTCCCCTTGTCTCCTATCCTCCCCTTGCCTCCTATCCTCCCCCTGCCTCCTTTCCTCCCCTATCCTTCTATCCTCCCCTTGCCTCCTATCCTCCCCTATCCTCCTATCCTCCCCTATCCTCTCCTTGTCTCCTATCCTCCCCTATCCTATCCTCGCCTCCTATCCTCCCCTTGCCTCCTATCCTCCCCTTGTCTCCTATCCTCTCTTGTTTCCATAAAAGTAAATCTAGGGGCCAGTGTTGAAAATCAGCGTAAGCTAGAAACACTATAGGGTGAATCCATTTGATTTTAATCACATTTTGCAGCACACCTTTCGATTAGAACGAAACCTTCCATACGTATTTGCCCATTGTAGAAGTGCTCAGAAAGTGACTTTTTGGACCTGAATGCCAAAACATTCATGAGATAAAGGTGCTCAAAGTTAACCTATTTTGCATAACCCAAAGTACAATGAGACATCCATGTTTTAATCACTGGAAAATATAAATGGTTGAGATTGATATCATTTAAAAGCTTACAAACAGGGTTTACAAACTATTTTATAATTTCTTTAAATGTTTTTTTTTAATAGAAATGGTCATTTTCTAACCTTAAACGTCAATTATCAAAAAATGTGTAAACTCATATTTTTTTCCATATTCGCATGTGTTGTAGCTTAAAGCCTATTTTACATCATCTCAGGTGTTTGTGTTGCGCCCGCCATCGGGTGTTTGTGTTGCGCCCGCCATCGGGTGTTTGTGTTGCGCCCGCCATCGGGTGTTTGTGTTGCGCCCGCCATCGGTTGAGACAACATGCTCTTGAAAACAGAGAGGGTGTCATGTTTTGGGAATAACATTTACATTTCAACTTTCAAATGGTACCACAAAGATGGTTGGAGGTCCACACATCAGAGAATGTTGACTTGAATGGGATATCTGTTATTTTAAATCACACAGTCAATCCACCATAGGAAAACTGTTGAAATCATAGAAATATGGATAATACAATTGACTTAATTCAAATGGATTTACCCTATAGTGCAATGCATGGGACGATTGTTTGTTCAATGTGTCAATGTTCGTACTTGTCCCTATCCAAATAAACTTTAAATGTCCAAATATTAAACTGATCTGACAGATCTGAGCAGATAAAAGCCAGCCTAATGGTGAGCTTCCACCATCTTGTTTTCACCTGTCAAGTTAAGTCCTGACAAGGAGTGGATGGATTTCTAAGCAGTTGAGATAGCTCTGTGTACACTGCATGTGCCTGCCCAGATAACAGCGCTTTGAGATTCTTTCTGTAATGAAAAGCGCTATAAAAGTTGAATAGATTATTAGTAATATTATAGGACGCAGGATCCTAATTGTCTGTGCCCCCTCCTCCCCTTCAATAGCTGGGTTTCTTCAAGCGTGTACGCCCGCCCCAGGAGGACGCCACGGAGAAGGAACAGCTGGCACCGCAGGAGAACGGTGACAGGAACACTGACGCCTGAGACCTGCAGCACCCCCTAGAGGTCCCCAGGCTTCAATACAACACCAGGGCCCGTATCCACAGAGCATCTCAAGAGTAGAAATTTGGACATAAGTGCTGAGAATAGAGGCATTTTACTCTGATGGATCAAATTACCAATCATATGAGTCCCACCTAGTCAGCAGATATTTAGGAGACCTAAACTCTTAACTGTCCTAACCAGTTAAGAGTTACCTGCAGGTGTCTTAGAAAAAGGTAGCTAGTCAGTGTTTCCTGCACCATAGACGGGCAATTGCTTTGGAGTTGGGAGCAAAGAATGTTTTGATATTTCTATGATCAACCCATAAATAATCTAGACCTACATGTCTCTTGCACTTTTGACAATGATTTCACAAGAGGCCTCATTCAAATGATACGCCTAAATAATTATAACCACTAGGGCTAATAAATAATCACATTTTTCATTTGAATATTTCATCTAACCTACGTCATGTTATTTCAAGTTCATTCCTTTGGAGCGCACTATCAGATTGTAAATAAAATAAAAAAAGATCCCTACGGTGGGCATGCCTATAAGATGGCAACTGACAGCATCTAGGGGGCTATGTGTTTGCCGATTAATGATAAACCTTTCAAATGTTTCAGGAAACATTATCGGCAAGTGACTTGATGCCTACACTGTGCCAAAAGCAGTTTAGAATTGTTGAATGGAGTGACCTGTGTGTTGATATAACAGTAATATTCTATTTGTTATCAAAATTCCGCTTTTAACAACCATCACACTGTATGATTGCAATATGCACACATGCATCACATTATCAAAAATATTAGAATTTGTTCAAAAAGGGTTATGCGTGCCAACATTATTAGCCAATAATTAAAGAGTAAGTAAAGTGATCGTCAGGCGAAAATGATATCAAACGTTTTACCCTTGCAACGTTAAATGTAGAGTTACATTCACCGTGGTCGTCTGAAGCGTGCTGTAGAGTTCACATCTGGCGATGCCTCATCGCGATTGGTTATTCCCCATCGTTTGCAACAACGTCAATGTCATCATCAGCTTTCCTTTGCAGTACCTCAAACTGTCGTGATTTACCAGCTGAGATAACTTTTATGAGTTGATTTTACTCGTGGCTCAGAGTTTGTCTGGACAGAGTCTTAACATCCTAAAACCTACTCTGAGCTAGGAGTTATTTTTTTTGTCTTACACCAGGTTTTAACAGGATTCTTAGGACCTTTTTCTGAGATGCTTTATGGATAGGGCCCCTGGTCCTGTATGTATTCACACAGCATCTCAGAATAAGAGCGGTGATATAGGATCAGCTGTAGTTCTCCTGGGCACCTGGCTGTATATAGCTGCATCTGGACAACACTGCTGTACGATACGATATGGATGGGAGGAGCAAAAAAAATAGTGATTTGATTAAGTGCTGTCTTCCAGACTCTCTCTTTCTCTCTCATTTTTCTTCTGTTTCTTTTTTTCTGCGTCTTAGAGGCTGCGTTTACACAGGCAGCCCAATTCTGATCTTTGGACTGATCAGATCAGCTCTGACAAAAATCTGATGTGAAAAGATCTGATATGGTTGGTCAAAAGACCAATTAGTGTGGGGGGGGGGCGATCAGAATTGGGCTGCCTGTGTAGACGTAGCCTTAGTGCACTGGACTTTCAGTTAAATGAATCGCTGCAACAATGTGAATATGAGACAGCGATTATGATATGTGGTGTAACTGAGAGGGATAGAGTTATTAATAATAATAATATTGTATGGTCTTGAAAGATACGGCTTGATTGGAGTGTTTAAAAATAATTTTGTGTGGCTACTGCAAGGTGTTGATAGCAGGACATTATTAATGCTATGGGGAGGGTTGTATATTCATATGAATTCTTTTGAGGAATAATTAATTGATGTGTTGTTTTTGCTCTATAAATGTAGGGCAGTTAATATATAACTAGGGTTTTCAACTGTAATATGCCCTTTTCCTACGCGTGTAGTTGTAAGACAAATCACACGTCTCTGTGTAAATGTAAAATGTTTTGTATAAAAGGACTTCAAGAATGAATTGACTAATATTGAGTGATCAGCTCATTTGTTGTTCACATTAGACAGGAGTCACACCAATCAAACAGTAACACTTTATACACTTCTTCACCTGTTTCTTCTCACTTTGGTTTTATTATGGATCTTCGTTTAGTTTGATGTTCCACGCAGGCTACACCTCACTTCATTTAGTTTGATGTTCCACGACAGGCTACACCTCACTTCATTTAGTTTGATGTTCCACGGCAGGCTACACCTCACTTCATTTAGTTTGATGTTCCACGGCAGGCTACACCTCACTTCATTTAGTTTGATGTTCCACGGCAGGCTACACCTCACTTCATTTAGTTTGATGTTCCAGTGCCTCCGGAAAGTATTCAGACCCCTTGACTTTTGTTACGTTACAGCCTCATTCTAAAATGGATAAAATAAATCAAATCTATCTACACACAATACCCCATAATGACAAAGCAAAAACAGGTTTTTAGAAAATAAAATAAAAAACAGAAAAACCTTATTTACATAAGTATTCAGACCGTTTGCTATGAGACTCGAAATTGAGCTCAGGTGGATCCTGTTTCCATTGATCATCCTTGAGATGTTTCTACAACTTGATTGGAGTCCACCTGTGGTAAATTCAATTGATTGGACATGATTTGGAAAGGCACACACCTGTCTATATAAGGTCCCACAGTTGACAGTGCATGTCAGAGCAAAAACCAAGTGATGAGGTCGAAGGAATGTCCGTAGAGCTCCGAGACAGGATTGTGTCGAGGCACAGATCTGGGGAAGTGTACCAACACATTTCTGCAGCATTGAAGGTCCCCACGAACACAAGATTGAAACCACCAAGACTCTTCCTAGAGCTGGCCGCCCGGCCAAACTGAGCAATCGGGGGAGAAGGGCTTTGGTCAGGGAGGTGACCAAGAACCTGATGGTCACTCTGACAGAGCTCTAGAGTTCCTCTGTGGAGATGGGAGAAACTTCCAGAAGGACAATCATCTCTGCAGCACTCCACCAATCAGGCCTTTATGATAGAGTTGCCAGACGGAAGCCACTCCTCAGTAAAAGGCACATGACAGCCCGCTTGGAGTTTGCCAAAAGGCACCTAAAGGACTCTGAGACCATGAGAAACAAGATTCTCTGGTCTGATGAAACCAAGATTGAGCTCTTTGGCCTGAATGCCAAGCGTTACGTCTGGAGGAAACACTAATGAAGTCTCTACCCCCCTCTTAGCCGAAGATCCCCTCCCCCTAAACGGAAACTCTCAGCCGAAGCTCCCCTCCCCAAATTCAAAAGATGCAAACACCAGCAAAAATCCTGATTTGTCCAAATGATCAGTGACGGAAAGAAACTGTGCTCCGGAACAACGTTCCTCGTTAGTCATCGCATCCCACAGTCTGTTGACAGACGCTACGACACCAGCCTACATTACGGGTGTCCGTCCATGAGAGGATTAGATGTGGTATGACTAACCTGCAGAACCCTCTTGTTGATATCAGACACCACGTTGTTTCGTTGTTGTCTTAGTGACATTTCAGCAGACGGAACGTGTCGCCACCACCTGCAGAGAACAGGTGTTGATATTTGTAAATACAGAATAGCATTCAAAACTCCAGGTGTGGTCCTCTGTAGCTCAGCTGGTAGAGCACGGCGCTTGTAACGCTAAGGTAGTGGGGTCGATCCCCGGGACCACCCATACACAAAAAAAAATGTATGCACGCATGACTGTAAGTCGCTTTGGATAAAAGCGTCTGCTAAATGGCATATTTATTTAAACAGCATGCTGGTGTTATTACTGCAATTAAATACATACTGTCTACTGATCCAAAACACTGATTTACAGTTTGTTTTAGTAAAACATTTTAGTCATTTAGCAGACGCTCTTATCGACTTAGTTCATCTTAACGTAGCTACAGCAGGTAAGACAACCACATATCACAGTCATCGTAAGTAAAGCTTTTCCTTAAATAAAGCCGCTATCAGCAAAGTCAATGCTAGTAGGGCCTAAGAGAAGCTAGAAAGAAAGGCAAGGGTGTTAGTATTATATCTGTTGTAGTAATATATTCAGTAGTAATATATGCTGTAGTAATATCTGTTGTAGTAATATATGCAGTAGTAATATATGCTGTAGTAATATCTGTTGTAGTAATATATGCAGTAGTAATATATGCTGTAGTAATATATTCAGTAGTAATATATGTTGTAGTAATATCTGCTGTAGTAATATATTCAGTAGTAATATCTGTTGTAGTAATATATGCAGTAGTAATATATGCAGTAGTAATATATGCAGTAGTAATATATGCTGTAGTAATATATGTTGTAGTAATATATTCAGTAGTAATATATGCTGTAGTAATATATTCAGTAGTAATATATGTTGTAGTAATATCTGTTGTAGTAATATATTCAGTAGTAATATATGTTGTAGTAATATCTGCTGTAGTAATATATTCAGTAGTAATATATGCTGTAGTAATATATTCAGTAGTAATATATGCTGTAGTAATATATTCAGTAGTAATATATGTTGTAGTAATATCTGTTGTAGTAATATATTCAGTAGTAATATATGTTGTAGTAATATCTGCTGTAGTAATATATTCAGTAGTAATATCTGCTGTAGTAATATATTCAGTAGTAATATATGCTGTAGTAATATATTCAGTAGTAATATATGCTGTAGTAATATCTGCTGTAGTAATATTCAGTAGTAATATATGCTGTAGTAATATATTCAGTAGTAATATATGCTGTAGTAATATATTCAGTAGTAATATATGCTGTAGTAATATATTCAGTAGTAATATATGCTGTAGTAATATATGCTGTAGTAATATATGCAGTAGTAATATCTGCGATCAGCTCACACTGTTAGGGAACAGAGTTACCAAGATTTACCACTCCTGTTTCCTGGGATAAATAACTGTGAGAAACGTACTTCTATGAACAGCATGACGTGAAATGGAACTCTTAAATGATATGCAATGTCTAAATCTGGTTTCTCTACAGAGTTCTATGCTCAGCTACCTGCGTGATGAATCAGAGTTCTATGCTCAGCTACCTGCGTGATGAATCAGAGTTCTATGCTCAGCTACCTGCGTGATGAATCAGAGTTCTATGCTCAGCTACCTGCGTGATGAATCAGAGTTCTATGCTCAGCTATCTGCGTGATGAATCAGAGTTCTATGCTCAGCTACCTGCGTGATGAATCGTCAACACTCAGGGTGTGTCGGTGGGGCGCTGATGTCATAGCCCGTCATGTTTACTATATTGGTTAGGCTGAAACTGTAGGCGACACATGACCTTGAAATGACATTAACAATATTTTCAAATGACCCTCGGCCCCCCCTGTTTTACTGTAAAAACATTTGCACACCCTCCCCCTCATAACATTTACTCTAAAATAATGATTGTCACAACACAAATAAAATAAAAACAATAACTGTAGCAACCCTGTGTTTATGAACGTGGATATCGACTTGCCCACTTCAGCATGTTTTTGTGGCACAGTCGATGCCACGCAAGGCTACGGGCCAGAAGGTTGGGGGTTCGCCGACCACCACGGACGGGCTCACTCTCCCTGCCTGTCTCATTACACTACGATCAGACAATGATCAGCTAGGGGGGGAATCAGATTTCCAACATTTTGAATGCTTTTCTGTATATACAAATATCAAACAAATGTATTTATAAAGCCATTTTTACATCAGCAGATGTAAAACAAATGCTTATACAGAAACCCAGCTTAAAATCCCAAAGAGCAATCAATGGAGATGTAGAAGCATGGTGGCTAGGTAAAACTACATAGAAAGGCAGGAACCTAGAAAGGCAGGAACCTAGTAAGGCAGGAACTCAGGAAGAAACCTAGAGAGGAACCAGGCTTTGAGGGGAGGCCAGTCCTATTGTGTCGGTGGAGATTATAAGAGTACAGATTGTTCTTCAAGATGTTCAAACATTCATAGATGACCAGCAGGGTCAAATAATAATCACAGTGGTTGTAGAGCGTGAAACAGGTCAGCACCTCAGGAGTAAATGTCAGTTGGCTTTTCATAGTTGAGCATTCAGCCTCCTGTAGCTCAGTTGGTAGAGCATGACGCTTGCAATGCCAGCGTTGTGGGTTCGCTTCCCACAGGGGGCCAGTATGAAAAAAAAAATTATGCACTCACTAACTCTAAGTCGCTGTAAAATGAGAGAGAGGGAGAGAGAGAGAGAGAGAGAGATGGGAGGACACCAGATAAGACAGGAGAATTACACCAGCTATAACAGACTGACCCTAGCCCCCTGGCACATAGACTATTGCAGCATAGATACTGGAGGGGGACACTGTGGCCCAATCTGACGATACCCCCGGGACAGGGCCAACCAGG